CACATAACAACAACAATTTATTTACACTTCACAGATGACAGGTGAGTGCGGGCGTAACTTTCCTATGCGTGGGGAAACCAAACATTTCATGTGGCTTGCTTTACTGCTATCCTCACTTTATTGCGGTGGCCAGAACCAAACCCCCAGTGTCTCCAAGGTCTGCCTGTCTCGGGCAGGAGGGCCGAGTGGACAGAACTGTGCCCCCCTCCTCCTGCGGCCCAGTGCTACTCCCCGTCACACTGTTGGCCTCACCCAGCCCTGGCTCTGCCCCTGTGGGACGTGCCGGGCCTGCTCCTCCCTGGGCTTTGGGGAACAGGCATTTGCCACTGCACCTCTCGTGGGCTCCCCAGCACCGCCGCGACATTGGATTCTGTTGGGTTTTTGTGTTGGTTTTCCTTTCATAAACATTTAGCCCTCTAAGGGACAAACAACTTGCCTGCATCTGGCTTGGCAAGTCTATTGGTCAACCAATGGATTTAGCCGACACCTCCCTTCTGTGCACATGTGTATGGCCGGGCCAGCCGCCAGGTCGAGTGTGAGCCCAACATGCTGAGAGATGGACTGGAAATGGAGAATCCAGTGGGCTGACAGGGAGTCAGGACCCCCAAGGCCAGTGCCCAGAACTCTGTGGGGATCAAGGGAGGTTGTCCAAATGCCCACAGAAGCCCTTGGATGTTGGAGAATAAAGAGAAGGCGAGGGCCCTAACCTGGGGGCATGGTGAGGGCTGTTGGACACAGCAGTCTGATTCAGAATGACCAGGATGACACGTGACTCTGACCGGAAACCGGGGGAAACACTGGTTCTCTTACCCCTGCTGGATCAGCTCGTACTTGACACTGGTGAAGTCCTGGGGGTCTGGAGAAGCCACGCAGCTGTCCACAAAGAGCACCAGGCCGGGGTCATGGCTGTGGAGCGTGGCCTGCAGGAAGACCTCTTTTCTCTGATTGGTGTAGTACGGACTCATGCCCCTCGTGTGATGGGTCGTGGGCGACTCAAGGAATGTGATGGACACGTCATAGCCAACGCTATGAGTGACTCCTCCCGTCGAGGGACCATCCACCTGGCAGGTGAACTTCAGCTGAGGCACCTTGTGGCGCACGATGACTCGGCCAGAGTGGCCCCGAGTTCGGCCTCTGATGTAGTTGGTGTAGCTGCCGGAGCCACGGCTTCCCTGTGAGGACGGGCGGAGAGCTGGTGACCAGAGCCCCGGGCTTCCTGAAGGGCACCTTCCTTTGGAAGCGGAAAGGAGCCAGGCGGAGGAGTGCATAGTGTATCAGACAGCTAACCAAAGGACTGAGGGTCAAGTCCATTAGTAAAGCCACAGGGAGAAGAAAGCCAGTCTCCTCCCATGGTGGTTTACAGCCTACGAGGGTTGCCATGGGTAGGGGTGGATTTGGTGGGATGAAGCTTGGTTTGGGGTTATAAGCAGAGGCCTCTCTTTCACCCTTGTGTGTCTACCTTGCTTGGGGCCAGTTCACAGATTTGCTGGAAGAATCCCAGGCCCGAGTACTGTGTCCTTAACCAAGAATGAGGGCCATCTGGGCAGGAGTTGTGGTGTGGGAGGCTGATGCCAAGTGGGGTTTCCCCGTCTAGAGCTCTCACTCTGTCAGACTCAACCTACTCCTTCCCTCAAGCATGCTTGCTCCCTTAATTTCTTTTTTAAAATTTTTCTATTAATTTTTGTGTGTGTACCGTCAAACCGGATCTGACTGGTACAGAAGGAAATTACCCCTCCTGTTTTCTTAATTTCAATGTCATTGTTTTGTGAAATAGGCAGGTGGTTGGGAACATTAAATAGAGCTGTATATATTTCAGTGTATGTAAACATCTGGATCTTTGCTTTCTAGATTGAAAACGATAGCTAGCCAACTGGCTAGAAGCCAGCAGTCAGAGAATCTGTTCTCTCCTGGCCTCAGTGCCATAACCTGGACTTAGGAGGGGTGCACTTATGTTGAGGAAAGAAACGTGGAGTGGGAAATGCTTTGGTTTGGGAAGTAAGAGAAAATACCATTCATCCCTCCACCTACCAATCCATCAATATCAACACTGGTTACGGTGACAGAAGCTTCAAGTCATCTCCCAAATGAAGGAAAGACTATTCCGGGCAGACTGAGCTGCTCCAGGCGTCACTGACTCAAACGAGGTCCTGGCCCACTCCTTCCCTCTCTCTCTCCCCAAGTGTTCAGGCGGTGGTTGAATGTGCCAACCCCTGTCCCTGAGTTCGAGGCACAGGTGGTTATCACCACCTTGCCGACTCCATACCTGCCAGATGGTGCCACAACGGCCATAGGGAATGTTGAAGATCAAGTAGCGCCCTGTGATGTGAGGGCGGCACAGCTCGTCATTTACGTGGACGTCCCAGGAGGAGTAGCCCAGCCTCCGGAGATAGCCGCGGTCGATGACGGCTCGGAAGAGGTTAGGCAGGCAGGAGAGCTGGGCTGCGGGAGGAGGAGGAGGAGGGTGAGACCCCCCCACGAAGGACCCTAGTCCCTGGACATGTAGGTCAGGGGTGTGTGTGTGTGGGTGTTTACTTTATCCAGGACCAGGAACAGTGACCGGCTAGGGCTGGCTCTGCTCTTATCGCCCTACTCACAACTTGATTTTTTAAAAAATATCTTTCTTCTCAAAAAAGACTTTGGGGGAACGCTGCAACTTTGGGGAGCCCCAACCCACAGCACACATTCCAAGGGCAGAAGCCAGTATTCAACTAAGGAGTTAAGAACAGCTCATTTTCCATGTTGAGAATCCCTGAGGCGGGGCCTTTGCATGAGACTGAATTCAATCAACATTGTCAACACTGACCCACATACGGTGACCCTGTAGGACACACTGCAACTGTCCAAATGATTTCCAAATCGGTAATCTTTGCAGGAGCAGAACCCGATACCCTTTTCCTACAGGATAGCTGGTGGGTTGACCCACCAATCATTTTGTTAGCAGTCTAATATTATAGCCATAGTGCTACAGGCTTCTCATGAGCAATAATCTGGAAAAGGACAGTGGAAGCAAAGTGGGAGGTAGCATGAGTGCAAAGGGGTCTCTCCTCCAACCTCCTGAAGCCTGATGAACCCCAGAGGTCCTAGGGGAAACTCAGCCTGTTCTTTGTTTCCCAGGCTGCTCTCCCTTTGAACCACCTCAGATCCTAGAAGGGGAGAAGAATTTACCATTGTCCTTGGGCACCACAGAATCAGCTGGACCTGGGAGGAGAGACACACGAGCGGATGTTAACCGTGCTCAGCACTGAAAGGCCACAGTGCTGGCCCTGAGAAGTGGGGGGAAGCTCAGTAGGTTTGGCTACTAAAATCAGAGTATGATGACACGGAGTAACCCCAGGAGAGAGGATCTTGGGCTTCCTGGTGGAGCCAAAGGGAGGGGAGCTGGATTGTGCAGAGCTGAGAATACAGGTAGCATCTGCACCAGGGTTTGTTGAAGCAAGAGAACAGCAAACTCAGGGGGGTTTGCAGGTACACTCACTCCATGAATCTGGCTGCGTTCCCTCCTGTGCTCCTGGCCCTGATGGCATGTAAGGTTGGGGAAGATGTAGTTCATCTGTCAAAGGCTTCCCCAGCCCAGGTATAGATCAGGCCAGTAACTTGGGGCCAATGACCGACTCAGGAAGCCTGGTTGGAGAGATCCTCTCAACCTCGTTTTTGTTATGATGTGCTATCCAGTCAGTCAACTCATAACTGACCCTCCAGCAGGTTTTCACACAGGACAAAACTGCCTATCTTTCCCTCACAGAGCAGCTGGTGTATTTGAACCATGAGCCTTTGGGTTGGCAGTGCAATTCCTTATCACTGTGCTATCAGGGCCCTCTCTAACCTCAGTTATTGTTGTTGAGTGCTGACAAGTCAGAACTGACTCATAGTTGACCCTCCAGTGGGTTCCAGTGGGTTTCAGAGGCAGTAAGTTGTATGTGAGGAGACTGCCCATCTCTTTAGACGCCCCTAATACTGGTGCCTCGGACACTTATACCCAATGAAAAGGAAGCCCCTTGGTTCACATCCAAGAAGGGAAAAGAAATTACCTTTTTGAGTGAGTTCCCTGATGGCATCTGGGGGGGCTGAAAGTGCAAACAGACACAGTAGCATGAGAATCTGGGAGGTGAGGACCCCAGGAACCCCTCTCTTTGCATGATTAATGGTGGTCTTAATGCTGGCCTTTTGTCTTAAACACTGAGAGCATTTCTGTTGGAGCTTCATTTCTATGCAACACAGTTCCTATTCACTCCTACTGAAAGAAAAAAGTGATGGCAGCAATGTCTTTGATGTAACTGTAGAAAACTGGAAATGGAACAGACAAGACTCCATTGAATGTATGTGGTCACCGTATCTTAGAATCTGGCCAATCTTTGGATTTGTGCAGATGGATTTGAGGAAACATGACTCCACGTGTGTGGTCAGCCTGTGGAACTCAGGAAGCCAAGACACCCAGAGGCTGGTAAGACAAAGCATTCCAGGGAAGGATCAGGTCAAATTCCGGATCAAATCTCTGACTTCCAAAGAATGGGGCGAGGTAAAGGAGCATGTCTACCCAGAGCTGTGCCCTGATGCCCTTGTCAGAGACTGAGACGTGGGCTTGACAAACTGTCGTCTGACAGAAGCAACTTCACCTCCCGGAGTAATTGTACAATGCTGTCACAGGAGCCTTGGTGGCTCAACTTTTAAAGTACTTGGCTGCCAAGCAATCAACCATTTGCTCTGTAGGGGAAGAATGTGGCAGAAGCCCCACTGTTTGAGCACATAATCCTTCAGTTGTATTTCACAACAAAAAATTGTACTATATTGGAATTAGGCAATGCTGATTAACAAAATCTCAAGCATATGTAATACAAATATTCACTATGAAGTTCTTTCAACTCTACTGTAAATAAGTTGCCGTCAAGTCCGCTTGGATTCAAGGTCAACCTGGGTGCCTCGGGGTGGAAGTACATTTGAGGTTATCAATAGCCGAGTTCTCAGGAGATCTCCAGGCCTTTATTCTGGGGTGCCTTTAACTTGTTGTTGTTGTGTACCAGTCAGAACCAACCCCTGGTGACCCCTGGTGGGTTTTCAGACGCAGTTGATCACTTCATTGCCCATCCTTCCAGGGAGCAGCTGGGTGGTCTTGAATCACATACCTTTGAGATTGCAGAGCAATTTCTTACCACTAGGCCACCAGAGCTCCCAACTTCTCCTTATCCTCAAACTCAGAACTGTCAGATAAGAACCAGTTCACCACGACCTTTGAGTTTGCTTTTGGAGGCCGTAAACTGCATGAGAGAAGACTCCCCCTCTTTTCCCTGCAGACCCTGGGGGAGGATTTGAACGGCCAGAGAAGCTGGCTTTTGGGCAGCAGCATAGCTCCCTGCAGGCCATGCCACCATCCAGGAAGTCCTTATAAAATATGACCTAAGCGTTTCTTTTGTGACTCTTGGATCTGTGACCATGGGCCTTGGGATTGTGAACTTGGACCTTGGAATGCTTGGAGTCTGCTTAATTAGGGGTCCCCGTCCCAGGGCCAGAGCATGACTGGTGGGGGGCTGATACCTGCGCAGACCACGCCCGCGTCCTCGCTGTGGCGGCAGTTGTGGCGCGCCCAGCCCGCGTGGGCGCAGCGCTCCAGTGTGTCCTCGTGCCCCCTGCAGTGCACATCGTCCAGCAGGATGGGCCCTGAACCCCGGCCGAAGTGGCCGTGCCCCGGAGCACCCAGTGCCCGGCCACAGCCCAGCAGGCGGCACACCAGCTGGGCATTCTTGATGTTCCAGTTGTCGTCACACACTGTGCCCCACACGCCCTGGTGCCGCACCTCCACGCGGCCTTGGCACCGGCTCCGCCCATCCACCAGGCGCAGGGGCAGGTCTGCGAGAGGCGAGAGAAAGATCCAGGTGAGAAGAGACCCTTTGGCTGGATTTCTGAAGTGTCGTTTGCTATGTGCTACAGAAACAATCAGCACTGGGGTGCATTCCACACGAGGGTGCTGTGAATTGAAGGGGCGCCCAACAACCACTTATGGAGAGATGTTTGCATGGGGTGTCTGAGCAAAGGTCTTCCGAGGTTGGAGCCAGACAGACTTCTGTTACCAAGGAGAAAACATGAGGCTATAAATCTTTTTTTTTTTTAATGAGGCTGTAAATCTTCTTTTTTCTTTTAAATTGGTTTGCTGACAAAGTTTGTGTACATCGTGTTTCACACTATTCATACAATCATCCCCATGCATTATGTGTTATAAACTTAATCCCCACTGATAAATCTTCACAGCAGCTGACTGCCACTTCTTTCTCCCAAGGAGCAGCTGGTGGGTTCAAACTGTTGACCTTTTGGTTAACAGTAGAGTGCCTTAACCATAGGACCACCAGGGCTCCTCTCAAATGTAAATGTATCTGTCTTCAAGATTCCCTGAGAAGAATGTTAATATGAGGAGCTACCACTTTCAGGGCATTTGTGTAGATGAGATTGTGCACTGTCCCACACAGAGGGGAACGCACACATTTGTGTCTGTACATGTATGTCAAGAATTTGTGAAAGTTTTCTGTAAAGAATAAATTTGATTGTGAGATAAATAGGCAGCACATTTTTAGAGAGAATAAATTAGTGAAACAAAATTTACCAGGTAAAGGAGCCATTTCTGCACCAACTGAAAGAGTAACTGTAAGAAAGGGAAAAAAACCAGACATTAAAACCACTGCCTTCGGGGTTGGGGGAGACTGAGAAAGATGGGATAAATAATGTATACTGTATTGAAACAGATGAGGGGGGAAAACTGTTTAAAAGGGATATTTGATTACATATGATATGTGATTACATATTATTGTCACAAAAGGAGTCCAGAACGAAGGCTGCATAGTGGAGTGGACTTGAGGGGAGGGATTGTAAAATAATGAAAGAATTTTTCTTTTACTTTCCAAAGAAAAGAGCAAATGGGGGGTGGGGAGTAATGGCGGTTGGGCAGGGAGAAAAGTGCAACAATGAATGAATGGAAATCCAAAGTCTCTGTAAACTTTCATTAAAATTTATAATAAAATTTTTAAAAAGATCAAAACAAACAAGCAAACAAAACCACCACCAAACCACTGCCTTCTATTGGTGGGGCAAGAATGTGGAGAAGGCTCGCAGTGATGGTTGAATGACACAATGAGTGTCATTAACTCACAGAATTGGACACGTAAAGACTGTTGAACTGGTAACTGTCCTGCTCTATCTATCTATCTATCTACATATATATATTTAAAATATTTAAAGTGTTTATAGTCAAAACTGAAAAAGAAATAAATGTTTTCCTAATTTCACGCATCAATAATTTATGCTTCTGCTTTGGTTTGGGCACAGAAATACTGTCCATCAAATGTCATTTTCCTGGCAACAACATTTGACAAGTGATATGTTTTGTTGATTGCAAGTAAGTAAGTAAGTAAGTAAGTAAGTAAGTAAGTAAATGAATGAATGAATAAATAATAAAAAGAATTTGTTAAATGATCAGAAAACAATCCTTAGAAATATACTGACATTCTGTGAGGAAGAATAAAAAAGGACCCAGATACTAGATGCTTTCTGTGGAAATATCTGTGGATGGCAAATGGAACCTGGAGGGCTCCTTGCTGCCCTCTTTCGTCTTGCCCTGGACGTGTGCCATACCTGCAGTGAGCTTCAGTGAAAGTGAGAAGAAGAAACCCAAGCCATCAAGAAATACTTTCAAATAAGAGAAAGATCATATCTGAAAAGTGTGATTTCATCTTAAAAAATGCACAGAGAAGGTAAGCTAGGAAAATGAACAATCTCTCAATAAGTGACTGTCACATTGCTGTTAGAACTGCCTCCTAGCTGACTCTCCAGGGGGTTTTCAGGGCTGTGACTCATGCAGGAGGAGAGGGCCCGTTGGTCTCCTGGGGAATGGCTTGTGGACAAGAACAGCTAGAGAGGTGTGACCTTTGAGTTGGCTGTGGACTACACCACAGCGCTCGCAGTTAGAGAGGTGGGGAGTGGAAATGGTCTTGAAACTGTGTTAATCCAGCCACAAGCGTCTCATTACCTGGTAATGCTGTAACTTTTGTTGGAACGGGATCTGTGGCTACAGAAACAAAACATAAGACATTTGTGAAAACTCAGTGCTGTTGGCTAGAGTCCAATTCTCGGTGACCCCATGTGTGACATGATCTTATTTCTATGTCCAGGAAAACCTTTCAATTCCCAAGTACCTTTCTCCCATGTAAAAAGAGACTGTGCTGTAACTATCTCAGAGGCTGTTGAGAGATTCTTTGAGGTTGTAAGGTGCTCACAGCAGCACTGTGAGCAAATGCTTCACAAATGTCGGTCCCGGTCCCACCAGCACCACCGCCATCACCACCACTGCCATCACCACCAGCATCACCTTTGTGTTCCTCTTGTCCTTGTTCTGCTGCTGCTGCTTCCTCTCTGTCTCCATCTCCTCCTCCCTCTTCTTCTTGTCCTTCCTCTCCATCTTTCCCTATCTTTCCTTTTACTTCTTCATTTTCTCTTCTGTCTCCATCATCATCTCCTTCATCCTCCTCCTCCTCCTCCTCTCCTGCTTTTCCTCCTCCTCCTTCCTCCTCTGGACTTTCTCCTTCTCTTCCTCCTCCAGCTGTTTCTTCTCCTTCTGCTTCCTCTTCTTCACTTTCTCCTCCAGCTGTTTCTCCTTCTCCCACTTCCTCTTCTTCACTCTCTCCTTCCTCTCCTCCTGCTTTTTCTCTTCCTGCTTCCTCTCCCTCTTCTTTGCTTTCTCCTTCTCCTTCCCCTCCCCCTCCCCCTCCAGCTGTTTCTTCTCCTTTCACTTCCTCCTCTTCACTTTCTCCTCCTTCTCCCCCAGCTGTTTCTTCTCCTTCTTCCTCTTCTCCTTTTTCGACCTTTTCTCTCCCTTCTTCCTCTCCCTCTTCAGTGCTTTCCTCCTCGTTTCTGCCTCCTTCCTCTTCTGTACTTTCTTCTTCTCCTCCCTCAACTGTTTCTTCTCCCACTTCCTCCTCTTCACTGTCTCCTCTTCCTCCTTCCTTTTCTCTTCCCCCTTCCTCCCCTTCTCTTTTGCTTTCGTCTTCTTCTCCAGCTGTTTCCTCTCCTGATTCTACGTCTCCTTCACTGTCTCCTCCTCCTGCTGCCTTTCCTCTTCCTCCTTCCTCTTCTGAACTTTCTCCTTCCCCTTCTCCTCCAGCACTTTCTCCTTCTTCTTCACTCTCTCCTTCTCCCTCAGCTGTTTCTTCTTCCTCTTTTTCTCCTTTTTCAACCTTTTCTCTCCCTTCTTCCTCTCCCTCTTCAGTGCTTTCCTCCTCTTCTCCTGCCCCACCTCCTTCCTCTCCCTCTCTTCCTGCCATTTCTCCTCCTTCTTCCTCTTCTGAACTTTCTCCTTCCCCTTCTCCTCCAGCACTTTCTCTTTCTCCTCCTTCTTCACTCTTTCCTCCTTCTCCCTCAGCTGTTTCTTCTTCCTCTTTTTCTCCCTTTTTGACCTTTTCTCTCCCTTCTTCCTCTCCCTCTTCAGTGCTTTCCTCCTCTTCTCCTGCCCCACCTCCTTCCTCTCCCTCTCTTCCTGCCATTTCTCTTCCTTCTTCCTCTTCTGTACTTTGTCCTTCCCCTCCTTCTCCAGCTGTTTCCTCTCCTGATTCCACGTCTCCTTCATCGTCTCCTCCTCCTCCTGCTACCTTTTCGCCTCCTCCTTCCTCTTCTGAACTTTCTCCTTCCCCTTCCCCTCCTTCTCCAGCTGTTTCCTCTCCCCCTTCCTCTTCTTCACTGTCTCCTCCTCCTGCCTTTTCTCTTCCTTCTTTTTCTGCTTCTCCTCTCCCTTCTTCTCTGGTACTTTCTCCTCCTTCCTCTAGTTCTCCCCTTCCCTCTCCCTCTTCTTCACTTTCTCCGCCTCCTGCCTGTTCTCTTTCCTCTTCCTCTCCTTCTCTTCCTCCTTCCTCTCCTTCTGCTCTTTCTCTTGTTTTCTCTCCTTCTCCTTCCTCTCCCTCTTCTCCTTCTCCATTCTTTCCTTCTTCCTCTCCTCTTTTTCCTTCATCTTCTTTTGTTTTTCCTTCCTTTTCACTTTCCACTCCTCCTCCCCCTCCTTCTGCTCCATCTCCTTCTCCGTCATCACTGTCGTCGTCGTCGTCGTCGTCATCATCATCATCATCATCATCTCCAGGACGGTTGTCATTTTCTCCTGAGGAAACAAAACATGTTCACCCTTGGTCTGTAAGCCCTTGCTGGATTGGAGGTTTCTTAAAAATGCATCAGGATTACTTCAAAGGACAGGCAGCACACCTGGAGGAGAAGCTCCTTCCGCTGAAGTTGAAGTTGTAACTGCAAATAAAAATAGAACCAAGCTCAAATATAGGTGGAAAGAAAAGGCAGCATTTGGTTTGAACAACAGTGTGTAACAAGTGCTTTGAAGAAATCAATGACTGAAGTAGAAGGGGAATAGGTAGAACCTTCAGGCTAGCAGCCTGGGGTTAGGGTGTGTGTTTGACTTTGCTGGTCTGGGCAGAGGTAAACTGAAGACAATGTGCATGCCTCCCAGCAGGTGGAGGCCTGGCCCCTGCCTGACCTTTCACAAGTATATCTGATCAAGACAAGAACAGCAAGGAGATGTGGTCCCTGGTGGAGGAGCCACTCACTGGTGCATCTACACCTGAACAAGGAGATCATGGAACTTGATGTCTAAAGGACACTAATGTTTTCATTTACACTGGGGTTTATTCTGTGGATAAATGTTCACTTATCACATAGAAGAGAAAGTTGATCATATTTAACATAAGAAATTTGGCAGGTAGAAAACTTTACCTGAAGGACCATCCATTTCTGCAGAGCTTGGGGATGCATCTGTATATGAATAAGATAGAACAGGACGATGAATATTCATTAGTGTGTGCACCATTTCCCGTTGTGTGTGTTATTTCCCATTGAGTTATATTTTGTTGTATGTTGTAAAAAATGTCCATTAAATGATCCCCTGCTTCTCTCCCCTCCCGCCCTCCCTGTCCTCCCTTCTCATTTGATCAGTTATGCACGTCCTGTTCCAGGTTATTACCTGCAACACATATCGTCTACTTGTCCCCGCTGACCCTCCTTGCCCTAGTCCCTTACAGTGTCCATTGTCTGTCCACTGTATTTCTGTTCTCCCTGTCCCACAATCCCAGAAAGCCTCTTATTATAGTGGAGGTCTTAAATTGCACTGGATGTATTTCTTTTTTTTAATTTTTATTATTTTTGTGTGAATGTACTGTCAAATCAGATCTGACTGGTACAGGAGGAGACTGTCCCTCCTTCTCCGGCAGAGCATCTGGTGGATTCGAACCGTGCGCCTCTGGGATTGTAGTTGCAGCTCCTTGCCACTAGGCCACCAGAGCTCCTCCTGGATGTATTTCTTAAATACACTTGTTATTGTTTGTTGTGGTTGAGTTGACTCCAACTCACAGCCACCCCATATAGAGAATAGTACAACTGTTCAAAGGGTTTTCAAGCCTTCAACCTTTAAGAAGCGATCACCAGGCTTATCTTCTGAGGCACCTCTGAGTAAGTTTGAACTGCCAACCTTTAGGCTAGCAGTAGTTGGATGCTCAATCATTCGTGCCACGCAAGAGAAATTAGTCATGTTAAACAGCAGAATGGGACAATCTTTACCAGATGTCAAGGTCACTTCTGCTGAGGTTGAAGTGGTATCTGTGGTTATAGATAAAGAGAAAATACCTAAGAACTAGTGCACAAGATTCTTCACCCTGCTATGGGATTGGTTCTGACTCCTAGGGATCCTGTGAGACAGAGTGCAACTGCCTGATAGGGCTTCTGAGGCTGTCAGTTTTTATGGAACCAGATTGCCACGCTCCTGTGAAGAGGGTGGTGGGTTTGAACCACCAGTCAGCAGCCCAGTGCTCAGCCCACTTGGGCTTCCAACAAGACTCATAGGTTTTGTTTTTACTGATTCTTATTTTGAGGACATAATTTTCATGTGTCAGCCTAGTTTGCCAAATAGAATTCTCAGCAGGGACACTTAATCAGACCCCACAGAGCATTTTACCTGGAGCAGAGGTCACAGTCGTGGACACTGAAGCTGCAGATGAATAAGAAGGGAAAAGACAGTTGTATTTCGTGTTAGATTCCTAGAAGGTGCAGGAGATGCAAAGGTGGCCATCACAGGTGAGTGAGACTCGCCAGGCAGGACATCTTCCCATGCCTCCAAGCCTCCTCACCTATCTGAGGCTCCAGCTCTCCAGGCCATCCTTGATTCCCCCTTCACAGGTGAAGGGATGGCTTGTTTGAAGGGCAACAGCCCACGGACCTTCTCATTTAGGGGGACTGATCTCTCCTGGATAGTATGAATGAGGGCTTTGCCTGCCCCAGATCTCTCAGTCATTTCCCCTGTGAACTGGAGGGAAGTGTTTGCAGACTAGAACTGTCCGTTTGTGGACTATTCTGAGACCTAGACTGAGGAAGAGAATGGCTAATGGGCTCATCTGTCTCTCCTACTCTTTGTTTTTTTTTGTTTGGTATTTTTTCTTCCTGTTGTTGTGTACCATCGAGTCAGATCTGACTGTTACAGGAGGAAATTGCCCGTCCCTCTCCAGTAGAGCATGTGGTATATTCGAACCATGCACCTTCGGGATTGCAGTGCAGCTTCTTGCCACTAGGCCACCAGAGCTCCCTCGGATTCTCCTACTGTTATCCTCCAGCACCTCTTTGTATGTAACCAAGGCCACATTCTAGTTCTCTATCTGCTGACTCTGGTGTTTTCTTTCTCCATTAGTGTTAATAAAGGTGGACTGATTTTAGCATTTAGGAACACACAGAATTTACCGGTGGGCATATGGGGAGCATTCTCATTGGCCCCACTCCAGCATGCTAGAGGTGAAGCTTCTGAGGCCAGACCTACAATAGGATCTTCAGATAATTCTCGGCATTGTTGACTAGAAGCTCCTCTAGAAGAAGTGGGTTATTATTTTAGTCAACTCTGCAAGTCACGGCCTTGGCCCCGAGCTCAGCATGGGACTAACTTTCACCTAAAGCTGCTTAAATATCTAAACAGGCTCAGTTAAATCTGTCCTGGCCACATCTACTTGTTGGTTTCTGGAGCAAACTCCCTCCATGGTTTCAAGTAGGTGATTATATCAGACCACCAGCAAGTCCAGCTGATGATTAACTATGCATTGATTTTGTGGGCTTGACTATTTGACTGGACTATTTCCCCTTTGGTCTGTATACTTGTCTGCCTTTTCCAGAATTCGTTCCCTTTTGGGAGCTCTTAGTACAATCTTTATGAAGCAACTTAATACAAAAGTATTAAAAGAAAAGGAAGATTGTTAAAGAATTCCTCTCTCTCTCTTGGCTCCATGTTCAGCCAGCTTTATACAGACATAGAAGGTGATCAGTAAGATTTGTGAAGAGCATTTTCCTTAGAATAACCAATCACTTAAGGGTAAAAGAGAGGTATTTCACAAGGAACAGAGCCCAGAAGGCAGGGATGGCTGGGGTAGAGGGACCCATGGAGAGAGCCAGGAAGCAGGAAGGGAGAGGGTAGAAGTACCCATGGACTTAAAAATTACAGGGCAGAGTGATAAGACTGTGATTAAAGTGTGAGTATTGTGATTGATATTATAAAACAAAATGGGTATGAATGGTTGGATGAGAAACCAGTTTGCTTTGTAAATTTTCACTTAAATCACAATAAAAAAAGATTATTAAAGAACCAATGAATTTAACCAGGATGTAAGTGACTATTTCATGAGCTCACCAGAAAACCAAATAATTTATAGCAAGCAAGATGGAATCCAAAATGACATTAAACATACCTGCTGAAGTGCTTATGGCAATAGTTAAAGATGCTAGAAATCAGAAAAGGGAATTAATCAAAACTTAGCAAATGGCACACAAGAATTGTTTTGTCTCTGGAGCACAGGTCCCAGGGTCTTAATTTACTCAGGCAAAGACTAGAGATCGACCAAGTACCTGTCACTGTGCTCGTTATGGGGTAAAACAGTCAACACTGGATAAAACTAGTAAAACAGTCAAGGAGCTAGAGTACTCTCCCTTAAACAGACTGTCTCAAAGGAATGACTGGTAAGTTCAAGTGATCGATCCCACAATAAATGTCCAACTGCACTGCATAGCAAGGATGTGTGATGCTTCTAGGAAGATGACCCCACCAGGCCAGGGAGGACCCTCTCTGTCTCCTGACCTTCTCTGAACCCCACTTCCTGCCTGGCACCGGGTCTGGCCCAGACTAGGCACTCTCCTCAAAGGTTAGATCTTGGTACCACATGTCCACCAGCTGTTTGTACACTGGTCCCACCTGTTGGCCTGACCACACCACCCTGCTGTCCCCTTTGTCTAAGTAGGCGGGACCCTGGGCAGGGGGCATTACCAGATGAGTGAGTTACTTCTGTCCAAGTAGAGCTTTTGCCTAAACATGAAACACAAAAGGATTGTTAATTTTTAAATGTCATTTTGATTACACACAATTCCATTGTTATGATGGCCTCATTCACTACAGATTGTTGTTGAAAGAATTGAAACATGAAGACTAACACCTCCCTCCCCAGAAATCTTATCTACTAAAACTAAAAACACATGAATATTAGAAACGAAAACATTTCCCAAATGAAGCATGCTTCCCAGCCTTTTTAAGCAAAAAATTAGTGAACATATTATAATCTGAATAATTTGGGTTCACTGTGAAGAGTATCTTTGTTGTGGAGAATGTTGAAGCAAACGGGCATTTTTTTGGTGACAATTTATGTCTGGGCTAAATTTTTTTGTGCTCTTTGGCTCCGAGGCTGTCTACTACATTTTCTAGCTCCTCTATCAGGTTTCCGCTTCTAGGTTTTAAACCTCTCCTTAATTTATCTAATTCACAGCCAAGTGAACTCTGGTGGCTTAGAGAGTTGCACTGCCAAGGCAGAGGTATGTGGTTCAAATCCACTAGCTGCTCCGCAGGAGAAAGATGGACAATCTCCTCTCATGTGCTTCACGGCCTCTGAAAGCGTGCCAGAGGGTCAGCTGTGGACTGGTTCCGACTCTGTGGTTTTTAGCAACAGTCAGGGTGGCAGAGTGCTCAAACTGCTTGGCTGGTCTATGAAGGGTCGATGGTTCTAAAGCAATAGCTGCTCCATGGGAGAGACTCAGCTTCTGTAAAGATCTGCAGCCTTGGAAACCCTAGGAAGCAGTTTTACTTGACCCAGAGGGATGCTATGAGTCAGGATCTACATGAGGGCAACAGGTTTGTTTTCAGTTTGGAAAGACCAGGTAGTCAGCTTGAGTGTGTGTGTAAGATAATGAGCGTCGGATTCTTGGCGAACAGTCTGTGAATACTCCCAGGCAGGTTTGAGCCCTTAATCTTGAATACTGAGACCTCAGCTTGGAGGCATAGGGGCCCTGCATGTCTAGTTCTGAGTTATCAACAATTTTCCAAGGCATTGTTTTGGCCAGCAGGTGACTCCTGGATAAATAGAGGTCTGATTGTTTATTCTCAGTAGAATTTCAACATAGCAATGCCCCTTGTTGTTGTTATTAGGTGCCGTCGAGTTATAGACAACTCTTAGTGACCCTATGAACGAAAGGCCTGAGCACTGTTCATAGAGTTTACAGAGGCAAGCCATTTCAGAAGTGGATGCCACTCCTGCTTCCAGGATTGTTTTAATCGGGAAGCTCCACCAAACACTGTCCACCATCGGTAACCATTCTCACATTTGATACATCAGTATCACAGTGTTCAGCATCATAGCAACCACGAGTTACCTCTGCACAGCAATGCACAGACCAGTGCTATACCACCTAGAAGAAATGTTTGACAGAAAAACAATTTGAAGCCACAGCCTGCCTTAAACCCTAGGCCAAGCCTCAAGGGCCTCGCTCCCGGGGGGAAGAGCAGTTCTGCACGTCAAACACAAGCCCAAAAAAAGCACTCGACCCCCAAAACTTGCCATTACTTGTGCACATGGACCACCATGTTCAGGCAGCAAGAAGTCACAGAAACCCAAGGTGGAGCCGTCCGGGAAGGACATGGCCGCCTTCTCTCCCCTCTCCCTTTGGGGCTTTAAGCCAAAGCCTGCCTTAAACCCTAGGCCAAGCCTCAAGAGCCTCGCTCCTGGGGGAAGAGCAGTCCTGCACGTCAAACACAAGCTCAGAAAATCAATGCCCCTTAGATATGCAGAAAGGGGAAAAGTTAAAAGAAAACACGTTACCAGTTGTAAGGGTCAAATATGTGGCTGAAACAGAGGTAGGTGCTGTCAAAATAAGAAACAGGTTTAAAGAAAATGGTCATGAAATACCATCCTTGTCAATAGCTTGTTGGTAAATACTTTGAAAAGAAACCTCCCCATTTACCAATCATGTTCCAGACATGTTCGGTATGATTATGTTCTGTCCTTAGTCAATTTCTTGTCCTCTGCTTCATTAAGTCCAGAGAAATAAGTAATGGGGAGGGATACAGAGGTTGGAACTCCAGAGAACTCAGGCCGAGTCCCTTTCAGAAACCCGTGACCATGGACAAGTCTCAGAAACCCTCTTGGGCAACTTGACTCTGTCCTCCAAGGGGAGCTCTGGAGGCCTAGTGGGAAGAAGCTGTGCTGCAAAGGCATATGATCCTAAAGGCCCATAGTTCGAATCCACCAGCTGCTCGGTGCAAGAATCCATCAGCTCTCCTTCCATGCGATTTATTGCCTCTGAAAATCTGCTGGAGGGTCAGCTTTGAGTGGGTTGCAACTTGAAGGCACACAACACCAACAACAGTTCTGTCCTGCAGGGCCACTGTGACTCAAATTGGCTTGAAGCAGTGATTGGGTGCTCCTGGTGTAGGTGGACAAGAGAACTTGCCTGTGGTCACCCAAAGGGCTAAGAATGCTGCCAGGCCTGGATCCCAGGTTCTCTGAGTCCGAGTCCTGGGATGCTGCATTTATACTCAAAAAGTTTTAATGGGCAGAGAGCTCTGAGAAACATTGGGTCATTCCAAAATCAACCTCCACAATAGTCTACGTGTTTCCTATTGCCAAAGGGACCCATTAGAATAGTGAGAGAAGATCTTCACCCTGAAACCTACAGCGTCCCTTTTCAGCAGGAAGTAGCTAAGAGAATACGCCGTCCCCTTTTCCTTATGAATCAGGGTGAAGTCTCTCTCAGAGAGGAGTGATAGGGAATGGCAAAGGACACACTGACCAAGGAGATTAATCAGAACTGGTTTTAACAAGCACTGTGGCAATGGGACAATTAAAACAGGCTTTCAAGGAATATTCAACCTGAATCCTTCTGATCATATAGAGATTTTTGAAAGTATTTCTTTGAGTTTATTATGTTTAATTTGTTTTGTTTGTTTGTGTATGAAGGATGCTCATCTAGATGATAACATAATTATGATAAAAACAAGAGGGGGGGAAATATGGGAAGTCAAGACTAAATATTTGTAATAAACTGAATACTATTTAAAAACAAAACAAAAAACATTGGGTCAACCACACATGGAGAATGGCCCCTGGCTACGGAATTCCTCAGGACCTTTGCTGTCTAGTTGTTGTTGTTGTTATGTGCCGTCGAGTCGCTTGCGACTCATAGCGACCCTATGTACAACAGCCCTAAACTCCGCTCTGTCCTGTGCCAATCGCACTGTCTCTGACACTCCCATCCCGATTAATCCAGTCACTGAATCAATCCACCTCATAGAGGGCCTTCCCCTCCTGCGCGGTCCCTCCACCCTCCCAAGCATGATGTCCTTCTCCAAGGACCGGTCTCTCCTAGTAGGGTGTGAATATTCTAGAGAGGAAGACAGTATCATCCAGGCTTGTTCACTCTCACAGTCTTTTTTTTTTTTTCATTAGCTTATCACTAGGTTAGTGTACTTTACTGTGAAACACACTTAGGAGATGGATACTCTGGTTTTATGGACATTTGCATAGTTTTGTCTTTGATGTCTAAAGTTCTGTGACTATTCAAAAACAAAACACTGAAAATCCAACCATGTGGACACTAAGGAGAGTAGAAGGAAGCTCTTACCATTATAAATGGACCCAGAGACCAAAAAGAAAGGGAACAAACATAGTGTCCTACATATAGGAGTCACGGGATGCCGGGGGCCTGGTGGCGAGGAACTGCACTGCAACCCCTAAATCTACACAAAGTGTGTGCTCAGTGTCTGTTCACCATTTCTCGCCATTAAGTTGGGAGCACTTAGTTTGATCCAGACTTGAGACTTAGCCTCATCTGAAGTTTAACGCTCACTTTGCCCATATGCAAGTCACAACTGACTTAGAAAAAAGCAAACAAATGAACTTACCAGGAGGAATGGTCACTTCTGCGGCTGCGGCTGCAATTGTCAAACAAGCAAACAAAATAAAGTAAGACAAAGTCAAACAAAAATCCCAGCCACATTTCAATGATTCCTCCTGTTTTAAAAGTTGCAGGCTTCAACTACATGAAAATGAGATATATAGTGACCTCTGTAATGTAAAATTAAAAATAAGGCAGCTTTCCTGGGGAAAAGAACGCAGGAGGAAGGGAAAATGCTGCCTGGTTCTAGGAAAAGCGTCATCTCCAAGGGCTGATGAGAGGCTGTTTCAAGAGGGAATGACGAGAAACTACGTTCTAGATGATGACTTACTACGAGCATTCCTACTTTTGAAACTTCAGATTTTCTAAGACTGATTTCTCATTTTCACCAAGTTAGTTTGTTGACACATGAGGTTACCTGAACTATAAAGCTCTAGAAAGTGGTTTCTATCTTGAAGCATATCTGACTCCTGATTCAATATTCATTTACCCTTTTTTTGAAAAAACAAAAAACAAAAAACCCCAACTAATTTAATTGTGTTTTGGGTGAAAGTTTACACAACAAATTAGGTTCCCATTGGACAATGTCTATATATCCAGGGACATCTTAATATTCACAGCATGCCAATATTCTCTTTAATGAACCTATTACACCACCAGTGCCCTCCTGGAACCCAGGGCACAAGGGCAGGTTGTGGGGTTGAGAGGCTTTGCAGACCCAGCTTGTATTATGTATCCTCTGCCCCAATGTATCTCAATTTCTAATAATGGACTCTGAACCTTTTAGAGAAAGTCAGCAAGACCCAATCGAGGGAAAGCCTGGGCCGTGATTCATAAATCAACAATTACAAACTCAGGATCACAACACGTGACGTGCAGTCTATCCCAGGGATGTTGTTCTGTTGAACATGGTTCAGCAAGGGAAGTTGAAAGACTCAATGACAGCTAACAGCAGCAGCACCACCACCGCCAATGTCATTGTTGACATTCATCTATAGCCCCCCCACCCCTAAGAATCAGGACTCTTGTAGCCTCGGGGAACGCCAAGGGCAAGTACCTGCACAAATGACCCCAGCATCTTCGTGGTGGCCACAGTTGTGGATGGAGAAGCCCAGGTGTTCACACTGGCCCAGCGTGCGTTCGCTGCCTTGACACCTCACATCGTCCAGCAGGATGCTTCCCACGCCCTCCCCGAAGTGGCCATGCCCCAGGGCGCTGATGCCCACCCCGCAGTCCAGCTGGCGGCACACAACGTGGGCAGCACTGATGGTCCAGAGGTCATCACACACGGTCCCCCACACGCCGTCGTGGTAGACTTCCACACGCCCTTCGCACCGGCTCCTACCATCCACCAGCCTGATGACAGGTAAGTCTAGGAAGACCCAGAGATGATTGCAATGTGACCAGCTCTCCTGGGAGGCCATTTCCAGGGGGACTTCTCTGTAGTTCTAATATAACCAACCCTGAATTCCGATATCTTAGCAACTCTTGCCTTGTGCTTCCAGGTCAAAAGGAATAAGTCAAATTAGTGCTTAAATAAAAGTGGACTCTGCTGGCTAAGTGTGAAGGACCCGTGCTGTCAACGCAAAGCACTTGGTCAAACCCACCAGCTCCTCTGCGGGAGAAAGATGGGCCACCTCCTCCGAGGGGGCTTACCACCTCTGCGAAGCCACTGGAGGGTCAGCTGTGAGCCGGCACTGACTCCATGGTACATGACCATGGTGATCATAAATGCAGTGGCCAGCTTTTCCAGGCTAATCCTAATTCTGACTATTTTGTCCCCTTGTTTTCATCTTTGGATTTGAAAAGGGGGAATTTCAAAGATGAGAAATATATAGTAGGAGCCAAATCGTGGACTTGATGGGCCACCACACTCAAGTGCGTCTCAGCTAACCTTTCCTGTATTATCACCTTCACCATACACTTGCCTACTGGCCCAGGTTCAAAGTTAGAAACATTCTTCCAGAACCAGAGACTAGGCTGGCAGAAGCTGGGCTTGAAAAGGATGTGGAGGGCAGAGCCTGAGTTTTCTCAGCTGTGAGAAAGGAGCGCGTCTAGGAGAGCCCTGGTGTCACTGGCTGTAACCTCTGGAGTGTCTGCTAGCAAGTGTGTCAGCACCCACAAAGCACCCACGAAACAAAACCAAAAGGATTACCAACTGCAGGAGCCGTTCCCACCGACTCAGGGGCAACCTCAGGAGCTAAAAGAGAAAACCCAAAGTTCCTGTTAGAGGAGATGACCAGGCAAAAGCTGCTCACAGGAAACAAATCTAATGGGCCGATGAATCCACAGCTGTGCAGGGCCCTTGGCTATGGAATATTATAGCAAATGAAACACCACTACGACCTGTGGATTGGCATTTCTCAGGACGTAGCACAAACCAGGAAGCATCTCAACCTTTTCCTCTAGGCTTGGAGAAGCACAGAAGCACCTGGACAGACCGTGACACAAAACAGAAGCATCTACTGGACTTTCCAGGGAGGAACCTTCAGCAGCTACTCAGAAAGAAGATTGGTGGCGGCGACATGGGGTAGTGTGTGATGCCGTTTGAACTCAGTCATTTTCATCTGGAGACCTCTTAACCTGTTCATAGCAGCAAGTATGCTTCAACATTAAAAAGCTGCTGAAAAATTTCAGTAGGAACACCTCGCCCCTGTCCTTATCTTAGGACCTGGACAGGGCAAAGAGTTATGTGCTCAGATACCTAACTGAAATGTCAGCCGTTTGAATGCACCCAGAGTTCCCTCAGAAGAGGTCCTGCCATCTACTTCTGAAAGGTCATGGTCAATGGAAAACCTGTGGAGTGTGACTGAGTCTGAGACACATGGTTGCCTTGAGTGGGAAGGGTTTCAGTGGTAACTCGGCTCACCCCACGTCCACTGTGTCTCTGTCAAGGGTCGGGTGGCCCTGGGCAGTGGCGAACATCAGCAGTGAGGTGAGGAGTCACATTATTTAGTACCACAAAGTAGCAAAATCATTTTTCAGAGTTTTCAGGCAGCTTTTAGTGGATGGCGGTATAAAATTGTCCCTACTTGGAAGCGATTCTCAATGTAGGCAAGCCACAAGATCACGGGAATATTCATTGACAGCTTTTTGTGAAGTAGCTTTATGGAAAAATTGGAAAATCGACACACAGGGAAAGTCTGTTCCTAGGAACAAAAATGCAGTTCATAGCAGGACCCAAGTTCATGGTCGTATCTATGCCCTTCCCTCATATACAGCTGGCCAGGGACTCTCCTCTTTTGGGCCTTGGGTGACCAGTGCCCTGGGTTGGCTGAGACAAGCAGCTGGCTAAAAGTAAGAGAACCCCAGGAAGCTGGGTGTGTTATTCACCCTACCTGAAACTCCAAGCCTTTCCGTGACGGCAGGGCTGGGCTAACCGGGAAGTGTGGGATGTGCCAAACCTGCACTGAGCCAGGCATGTACGGGTGATTGATTTCCCATGGACCTCACCATGCCTTGGGCGTGGTGGGGACAAGTGGGGACAGGGAGGTTGTGTCCCATAGATTGGTGGAATGGGGACTGGACCTGTCTTTGAATGGTACCCTGTCCCTGGGCGATGGGCAGCCTGGTGGTTAGGATCTGCTGTTTGTGATGGAACCCTGGTCCAGGGAGGTGGCAGATACCTGAGCAGATGGCACCAGCATCCTCCTGGTGCCCGCAGTTGTGGACGGACAGGCCGAGGTGTTGGCAGTGCCCAAGGCTGCTCTCATTGCCAGTGCACTGCACATTGTCCAGGAAGATAGGGCCTGAGCCCATGCCAAACAGAGCGTGTCTCGGGGCTGCCAGGGCCTCCCTGCAGCCCAGCTGCCGGCACACCACCTGGGCTGCAGCCAGGCCCCAGAGGTCATCACACACGGTGCCCCACGTGCCGTTGTGGTGGAGCTCCACACGGCCCTCGCACCTGCTCTGCCCGTCGGCCAGCCTCACCTCCGGCAGATCTGCAGGGAAGGAGGCAAGTGTGTGTGAACAGGGACCCCTCCACCCACCGGACCGCCCTTCCATGCACAGGGCTCCGTCCAGCCCTCTGCTTGCTGGCTGGGCATCGCCCCCGGACAAGCTACAGACAGACATGCAGATGAGAAGATGCTGCAGGGTTTTGTATCCAAAATTGAGCACAAACCTGACATTCTATCCTCCCACCCCACTCCGCTGGACAGTCCCAGTATGTGATCCAGGCCACTTGCTGACTTGTGTAAGCTAGGACGAGGGCCGTGACCAGAATGCCTCACTGGCTGTAGATGGCGGGACTTCCGTGTCAGAGAAACAATCACAACATGTAAGAATGAGAAAAGTACCTATCAGGTGGGAAAGGTGTGGACCTTCTCCGGGAGCCGAAGAAGCTGAATGTGGATAAAAAGAAAACAGTCACTTATGTACATCTCAAACAAAGACACAGACGACTGTCCTCTACCTACGCGGTGTGAATGAATATGCTCTGAACAACCACACATGGTCTCTAAGAAAAAAAGATCTTTTTTAAATATGAAAGTGGCTCATGAGCATGTACTTACTAATCTGCTTGTGAATAAGAAAATGAAAGAAATAAAATTCACGGCAGGGCTGTAACAAGACAACCCCACTAGACACTCAACCCCACTAGACACTGGCTCCTGCACCCAGCATCCGTCTCTCACCCAGGTACCCCGGTGAAGCCTCAGGTGAAGGGTCACTCCTGCCACAAGTACACCCCCCAGCCCCTCTCAGCCTCCGTACTGCCACTGTCTCTGACGTACAAGTCACCATGTGAGGCCAAGAGTTGGTGTCTCTGAGTCCTGGGGAGATGCAGCTGTCTTAATCAGATGATACCACATCACCTGTTAACACCCAGATGACCTTTCGACAGAGGGGAGAGAAAGAGCCCTGTGGGCGCCGGTGGGCGGCAGGTTCAGGAGCTCAGGGAATTAATTATGAGAGAAAGTTAAATCTGATGAAGAAGACTCAGTGCAGGCGGGAGTGTATGTGGGGTGGAGTCCCTGCACTAGGCAACTAGTCACCTCTCAGCAAATGAGACGGACGGACATGAACTCACAGGTGCCGGGGTGTCCAGCAGCTGTGGAATCTGTGGAGGAAAAGGAAGCAGGAAGTCGGCTTAATAATAGAAGCCAAGTGCTTTAATTCTTTCGTGATGAATGATTTCTTGTTTTGAATTCTTTTGTTGATACCATATGTTTTTGGTAATGGGTGTAGGAGCTCTGGTGGCCTAATGGCAAGAGCTGCACGGTAATCCCGAAGACACGTGGTTCGAGGCCACCAGTACTCCCCGGGAGAAGGATGGGCAGTCTCCTCCCGTGTGATTAACTGCCTCTGAAAACCCACTGGAAGGTCAGTTATGGGTTGGTTCTGACTCAACGGCGCACAACAACAATGCTGAAATAAAGGATAAGGAGTTTTTGAGCTTATACTGATTTTAATATGATTATGTGGGACATATATGCCCCAAGGGGATTCTGGTAGTTGATTTATGGGGTGGGGTCTGATTTTTCAGATTAATTGCTTTTACCGCCATTACTGTCTTAATTTTATAACTAGTAACCTCTTTATACACCAGATTGAGCGAGACCTCCAAAGTTTTAAGCTCAAAGCAAAACTGCACTGCAGTTAAGCTGATTCTAACTCATGACCACCATCACTGGGCTTTCAAAGCTCATGGGCCTCATCTGTCTTGTGCACAGAGTCTGGTGGATTTGAACCATTCACTGTTTGGTTAGCAGCCAACATGTAACCCACTATGCTGTAAGGGCTCATTGTGTATTAAATAGCTAGTAGTTTTCTCTGGTGGCTTAGTGGTAGGAGTTCCACTGCCGTCCCAAAGGCAGGTGGTTCTAATTTACCAGTCGCTCACAGAAGAGGGATGGGCAGTCTTCTCCAGGGCAATTCAGTTTCTGAAAACCCACTGGCGGGTTGGTTTGAGTCCATTCTGATTCCATGGCATAAAATAACATGGGTTTCAGAGACTGGGATTTGCTGTCTGGGGTGTGGAGATGGTTTACGTCACTGGGGCACTTCACATAGTGACTGCAGGCCTGTGCCTGGCCCAGCAGGCCCTATACTCACCTGAGCAGATGACGCCAGCATCTTCTTGGTGCCCACAGTTATGGGTGGACCAGCCTCCATGTGGGCACTGCTCCAGGGAGGATTCCTTCCCCGTGCAGTTGACGTCATCAAGGAGGATGCTTCCTGCCCCGGGGCTGAAGCTGGCCCCAGGGAGGGCAGACACAGCAAGGCCACAGCCCAGCTGCCTGCAGACCACGTGGGCATCCTCGATGGACCAGTTGTCATCACACACGGTGCCCCAGGTGCCAGCATGGTAGACCTCCACGCGACCCTTGCACCTGCTGGACCCATTCACCAGCCGCAGGCTCAGATCTGGGTGGATATTCCAGAGAAGAACCTTTGTCATGGAGCCTCCAGAAAGACCACTGGACAGCCAGCTCCTTGCTGGGGGTTACACACTGACAATAGAGAACCACAGATCCACCATTCTCTCTGTTATGCCTTCACCATGATCATCACTCAATGAGCTTTCCTAAGTCAAGTTTGGATAAGAAGTAGTTCTGCCCCTTAGTCAGCTGGGCCAGTGATCCGTGTCCCCACTCAGCTGCCCCTTTCTCCACAATGGCCACAGTGACTGCTTGTCTTCTGACATTCTCTCGCGTGGGGGACTTTTCAATAGAAGTTATCGTGCAGACACCAGCTCCTTTGTACATGCATGTGTTTAAGAGCCCTTGGGACTCTTGTGTACATTGGTCAAGTGACAATAGTGTTAGTCTCCAGTCTATCCCCAGGGTCAGAGGGAACCACGCATGGGGGTGCTCTGTTGTTATGTGCTGTTGACTCAGGACTGACTTATAATCGACCAATAGTGGGTTTTCAGAGGCTATAAAGCCATCAGTCGGGTGACCCCTGTGTTCAAAGGGAATTGTAAGAGGCAGTGGAAGCTGGATATGCTCGAAACACAGCTGCTGGGTGAGGCTGCGTGGAGATTTGGGGTTGCTGGGGACTCCACCTTTCCCAGGCGTCAGTCAGTCTCCATCATTAACCTTGTTCCTGCATCTCACAAGTTCTCCTTCCCCCGCTTTTTGGCTTCAGGCTTTAGAGGTGAACTCAGACCTCAGTAGCCCATCTACCACCATCAGCATCTATACCCCAGCCTGAGGCTTGTCGGAGTCGGGGGGTAGGGGTCAGGGATTGCACAGTGGACCCAGCAAGGACACCCCTCACATGTAATGCTGGAGAAAACCTTTACAAGGGGAAGGCGGAGGAAGAGGAGGAGGAGATTACCTGCTGATGTGGGCGCCTCTGTTGACTCTGGAAACGATGCTGCGGACAGACAGAAAGCAGAACGTTAGGCACCATCTTGGCTACGTGCCACAGTCATGGTCACTGTCAGCAGGCTGGCGTCCCTGTGGGTCTGGACAGGCACGTTTTACTTTATTACACTTGGTAGGTGCTTTGTTTTTTAACAAATGGAGGCTTTGGGGTAACCCTATATTGGGGATGTGAATTTGCCTCATTTCCCCATCAGCACATGTTCACATCATGCCTCTGTGTCACACTGAGGAAACTCTCACAACAGTTCAAACTGTTTACAAGACAATTTTAAACTTTGAATTCCACAGACTGTAACAGAATGTAAACTTAGCTTTCCCCTGTACAGAGAAACTCAAAGATCCATATAAAACTTGACTTGTTGTGAAGTTAGCGTCACCCCAGTGGTCTGGGGGCAGACCTGCCACGTTCCAAGGTGTGCGTGGACGCCATTTCTGATTCAAAGTCACATTCTCTTACAGGTCCTTTCTTGGGAATGGTCCTTCTGTCACCCAACTGGTGTGTCCGCAGGGAATGAGCCAGTGGATGTGGGCTCAGGAGAACAGCCCAGAGGTACAGAGAACATCCTCTGAGTACTGCTCGCTGCACAACACAACCGATTCCGCGCCACCTCTGATGATTTAGAATCTTTCTCCCTTTATTACCTCTTCTCTGCATATTTTCCTTCTCTGATAAAGACTCAACTGTGAGAAAGTCATTATGGAAACCCAGTGGTCGAGTGTGCTAACAGAAAGGTCAGTGGTTCAAATCTACCAGCTGTTCTGTGGGAGAAGAACAGGCATCTCCTCCCATAAAGATCAACAGCCTTGGAAACCTGACGGAGCGTCACCAGGGCTGAAGTGGCTTGCGGGCAGTTTGTCTCATTCTGGTTTGGTGGAGACCATGGGTTAGTTTGAAATGCTCCTGATGTCTTCATCCTGTATGTACACGCATGACCTGTCAGTTTGGTTCCAGATCACTGCAGTGAAGCCAGCCAGGCACCCAGCTTTCTGCTTTGCTGTTACCTCAGCACAGGTGATGCCTATATACACTGTGGCCTACTAAGTTGCAGTAATGTTATGAAAAGGTTAGGGACGGTGTGAGAATTACCAGACTGTGACATAGAGGTCCAAAGTGGGCACGTGCTGATGGACTTGCTCACCATAGGGCGGCCACAAAACGTCAATGTCATTAACGTTTCTATGAAGATGGCCCCCAAAGGGAAGAAGGAAGCCCCTGCCCCTCCCCAAACTGAAGCCAAAGCAAAGGCATTAAAGGCCAAGAAGGCGTCCTGAAGGGCGTCCACAGACACAAGAAAAAGAAGATCCACACGTCACCCACCTTCCAGTGGCCTGAGATGCTGAGACTCCGAAGGCAGCCCAAATACCCCCGGAAGAGCACCCCCAGGAGAAACAAGCCTGACCACCATGCCATCATCAAGTTTCCCCTGACCACTGAGTCAGCCATGAAGACAGAAAATGACAACACACTCGTGTTCATTGTGGTCAACAAGCATCAAATTAAACAAGCTGTAAAGAAGCTCTATGACACTGATGTGACCAAGGTCAACACCTTGATTAGGCCTGATGGAGAGAAGGCCTATGTTCTACTTGCTCCTGATTATGATGCTTTGGATGTTGCCAACAAAATTGGGATCATCTAAACTGAGTCCAGTGGGCTAATCCTAAATACAAATTTTTCACACACACACACACACCCACACACACACACTTGTTAAATGTGACAGATAATGAGATGAGACACTCTATACAAACCACCACGCAGAACATGGGGAGACAGAGGTTAGTCTGTGAGGTGCCCTGGGCTTGGAAGAGTTGAGGGTATGAAGATCATGGTCAACATCTACATAGATGTCCCATATTGCCCTCACCTCTTGCATGGAGAAATCCACTAGACCTCAGGCCGGTTTGAAGGAGATGCTCCTAAGAACTGTCTGATTCACGTGCCAGGAGGAAACTGAGGCAGGAGTGGTCCTGCGATTTGTTCAAGGCTTCCCGATGGGTAAATGGCCCAAGATCACAGCCCATGGTGCCTGGTCTCTACTGACTCCCCAGGGTGAGGACTTTGCTGAGGCAAATCCCAGGTAAACAGAGAAGAATTGCAGAACTCACCTGAAATTTGGTAACTCGCAGCAGCAGATGGTGGTGAGTGGGGCAGAGCATCTATGACAGAGATCAAGGAAAATGTGTGCGTGAGTCACCTCCCTTCATGTTTCCTAAACCCAAGTGGGAGAGGGGCTTATCTGGGGAGACACTGCTCGCAATCAGGGCACGCGTTTATTCAAGGTTGTGAGTGACCCTAGTGACAGCTGGCGGACAGCCTCGGGTGAGCGGCTCATACGGGTCCTCCTGCCAGACCCAGAAGTGTCTTCTCCGCCTTGTTTCTGGCAAGCTGCGGCTGCAGTGTCTGTTCTCTTACGTGTGATGCCCGGGTTGCCGGAGGGTGTGACGTTATTCTTCCTCAGTGGATGACTTGAGGCGGTGCACCATTTATTGAAGAGTCACTCCCTTCTTAAAGCCCAAACCCAAGCCCATGCCCACTGCTGTAGTGTTGGCCTCAGCTCACAGCCGCCCCACATCGGGACGGACCCCAAGGCTGTAAACTCTTCTGGGAGGAGGCGGCGGCCAGGTTCTCCTTGGAGCTGCTGGTGGATTTGAACCGCTGGGAAAGAGCTGCCTTTGAGGTGGCGGCACCTCTTGAAATAGACCAATAGGCCCTTTTATCCAGTTAGAGCTGAAAATAATCTACTTGATGCCACATCTGATGAAAGGTTGTTTTTTTAGCTATGAATGGAGTTAGACGGATTAGACAGTTTATTTTTGTTTTGACTCTAAGCACGTTCACACATTAAAATTCACCCTGTGCCTACTAGCAAGCCCTGGTGGTGCAGTGGGCTTGGTATTGTGCTGTCAGCCAAAAAGGTCGGTGGTTTGAACCCACCAGGTACCCTGTGGGAGAGAGATGTGGCATTCTGCCTCTGTGAAGATGCAGAGGCTTGGAAACCCTATAAGGCAGTTCTCTGTCCTATAGGGGCCTTCTGAGTTGAATGGACTTAAAGGGCAACTTTAAAAATGACAATTAAAGGGGGTCTGTCGGGCCCTGACAGGGACAGCAGCGGATCGGCCCCACTGTGATTTTCCTGCGGCTCTGGGCTCAGTACAGTGCAGCCGGTCAGTGGGAAAGGCCCTCAGTGTCTGCACAGACGGTGCAGGAAGGGACAGCTTTTTGTTCTGTTGCACCCGAGGTTGTGATGACCTGGGTCCAACTCGGTGGCACCAGGTGACCACACTGGGCGGAACTTACGGAGCCTCTCCCGTTCCCAGGTGGCTCTCACCTGAGCAGATGACACTGGCGTCCTCGTGGTGGCCACAGTTGTGAGAGAACCAGCCGCTGTGCAGACACCGCCACAGGCGGGCCTCATTCCCTGCGCACTCCACGTCATCCAGGGCGATGGGGCCCTGGCCGCGGCTGAAGTGTGCCCAGCCCAGGGCCGACACGGCCCGGCCACAGCCCAGCTGGCGACACACCACCTGGGCGTCACGCAGGTCCCAGCTGTCGTCACACACGGTGCCCCAGGTGTGGTTGTAGAGCAGTTCCACGCGGCCCTCACACCGGTGGCTCCCATTGCTCAGCCGGAGGGCCACTTCTGGGGACACAGACACACTCAGGTCACTGCTGGGGTGACCAGGGTATGGGGGAATGTGGGCATTAGGTCTCTGTCCCTCCCACTCTGGGAAGGAACCTGGTTAATGTGAGCTACAGAAGTCTGTGGGCCTGGATCTCCCATCCCTGTGTTTCTTTTTCTTTCGTCTTTTAAAAATTCTATTATTTTTGGTGTGTACTGTTAAATTGGATCTGGCTGGTACAGGAGGAGATGTCCCTCCTTCTCCAGCAGAGCATCTGGTGGATTCGAACCACACACCTCTGGGATTGCAGTGTAGCTTCCTGCCACTCATCCCTGTGTTTCTCGAAGTGTCTGAAAGCTCTTCCCACAGACAGGAAAAGCTGTCTACTAACATAGAGCCCAAATAGGCCACATACAGCGACAAGCGCTGAGCCTGCCAAATATGGCCTGTTGTTGCCTGCAGAGTAGAATCATATTTTAAACTCCAGGTGAAAAGAAACTACTATGAATCCGAACATGACAGTTCAAGAAATATAAAGGTCACATGCCCTGTTCCAGGACAGCATCCCCTTTAATCTCAGAAGATCACATGATACAGATGGGCATGCCATTCCACAGTGGACAGCCAAGCCGTCCCTCCAAGGCATAGCTGGAGAGTAAACCAAGGAGGAGGGAGAGACATCTAGGCCTTGCATGTCCCCCGAGAAGGGGCTGAACTGTGGCAGGACCTACCGTTATCACTCTCATCTTGCAGGAGAGACTCGTAGGATGCATAAAAGCCACTGTTGGTGACAATGGCATCACTGTGAAACACCACTGTCATGTGGTTTGAGGAGGAGGTAAATATCGGGGTTATGCCAGAGCAGAACCTTCCCAGAGAGAAAGATTCACTTTGTGGGCCGTCGAAGATTTCAATGAAGTCGTAAGGACAGCCGTACAAGTTTTCCAGTCTGTGGAGCAAAGGGCGCTATTAGTTCTCAATCTTTGGGGATTTTGCCCCAACCTCAGCAAAAATGGCTCAAATTGGCTCAGGAAGGAGTCTAAAAAAGCTTCCTGGAATTGTTATTTCTTTAACGTGATTCAGAGGAAATGATAGCTATTTATGTGGACATATATATCCTCTTCATTTTACCAGGTTTTAACACTAACGGTTTTTATTTGACTATTTTCTGAATAAGTACTACAGAAACATGCAGAAGAATTTAAGTTGGCGTTATGCAGTGAAATGGAAGTTTCTTTCCTACTCTGGGCTAGTCCTCTTTCACTGAAATTCCCTTCCAGAAGTTTCCTTTTGCTTTCTCAAGTAATAGTCTGTGTACAAGGACAGTATGCCGCTTTTTCCTGTTCATAGTTTTCTTGTGGATCATTCCAAAGTTACACATCTTTTATGTGTGACAGCAAAAGCTATTTGAGAAACCCATGACCAAACTATTGCTTCCATAAGAATGCTACCCTGGTGATTCTCTTTACTCATGAGACTATGTAGACAAAAAAGAAAAAAAAAATACCAAAACACCATGGTACAGAGATTGATGGGTTTAAAGAACTGTAAGTTTAGTGAACAATATAGCTCGATGTGCTGCCAAAGGTCTATCTATCTTTCATTTTGAAAATTAAATAAAGATCTCTTCATGTGTGTGTTTAAGGAGTTGGTGAGTAAAAGAGAGGGTGTGTGTGTGTGTGTGTGTGTGTGTGTGTGTGTAGCTCACTCAAGAATATAGTGTAAATCCAAACTGTTTACTCACTTCACCACTTTAAACGTTAGTTTGACGTGGGCCTTGCTGTCTACTTGTATGTCCCAGGCACACACCACATTTGTGGGGTATTTTTTTGGATACCAAGGGCTGGAGAGTGAGCCTGAATTATTTGTGAGCAGACCACCACAGTGGAAATTTTCATCTGCAAGAAAAATTGAGGAAGTCCCATCAGAAGTCAACACTGACCTTGGTCGCTGTTTTCAGCAGGGTAGAGGAGGACAGGGTAGGAACCTTGGTTCTGTCTAAATGGGTGATTGGACAAGCTAGTCCTGGAGACGCCTCTGAGGTCCTGATGCTGTCTGTTTGCAGATGAAGGTTATGACATGTGTCCTCACGGGGTTTTGTGAGGAGCAAACGATAGTGATGATTTGCAAATCTTTGCAAGAACTCTACAAACCTGCGTGCACAGATGAATCTACACATGGGCTTTAATGAAAGGAGTGCGAAGACTGTATTTGTCAAAGAACCCCTTCTTGGTATAGGAGCAGTGGTGGTTCGGTGGTAGAATCCTTGTGTTCCACGTGGGAGATCTGGGCTTGAGTCCTCCTCAATGAACCTCACATGTAACCACTACCCATCTGTCAGGGGAAGCTTGCATGTTGTTAGGATGTTGAACAGGCTCGAAAGAAGCTTCCTGACTGGGAAGAAAGGCCTTGTTATCAACATCCACGAAGCAGCCCTTGAACCTTCTGGATCACAACAGCTCATGGCAGGAGTGGTGCAGAAGCAGGCAGCATTTTGTTGTGTCGTGCATGATGCAGCTGTGAGTCAGAATCACTTTGACAGCAGTTAGCAACATTTGTGTTACATACAAAGACTAAGTGAAATCATGACCAAGACTGCGTGAAGCACCTGGTTCGTCATGCGAGACCGGGTTAGCTGCAGAGTCTGTGGGAAAAGCCTTGTATGCTGCTGCTGCTGCTTCTTCTCTAGAAAGGGAAGGACCTGCATTTATCTGGTCACCAGAAGTGCTCAAACGACCCGCAGGAGGATGTGGACCCGGGGAGAGAGTGTAAGCAAACTCACCGTACCTGTGGTGAGGCTGTCGCCCTTGGAGGCTGTGAAAACGCACAGAGAAAGGAGAGGAATGGGTAAAGACTTCTGTCCAGATTATTCCTTTAGAACATTCAAACACACTGACATTAAAAATTACTGAATTCAAAAGAAATGATTTGTCCCTAGCCCAGTGCACAGAGAGGACTGTGGCTTCTCAAGCTTTTGTGCTTCTAAGTGTGGCCCCTGGGATCTCTCTTTTTAAAAATTTTTTAAATGTCTTTTTGGTCCCTGGGATTTCATCACCTGCTTCCACAAGGACCAGCAGCATGAACCTTACCACAGGGTGTTAACCCCCGTTCATAGCTGAGACCAACCCAGGGGCCCCAGTGCCGGAGAAACAGCATTTCTGGTGGATAGAACTAGGACCCCAGCCTACCTGCCTTCTCGTCCTCTGCTGCTCCAGATCCCACCACTTCATCAGCCCCAGAAGGATACATTGTTCTTATTTAATAAACTAAATCCCAATATTGCTTGGTTTATTCCTACGCATCATGACCCGCCACTGGGTTTCTGAGGCAGAACATTTTTATGGGAGGGACTGCCCAGTGGATCTGAACTGCTGACCTTTTGGTTATCAGTCCAATGCACTAGGCACTATACTAAGCTCCTTCTTGGTTAAAAGCACCAGGGAATTTAATTAGATTGTGCCCCAGCCTCAGGATTAGAGTAGCCAGGCCCCATATGCACCGGAGACCTAGCAATCAATTTAACATACGAGAGGACAATACCTGCTGGTCCTTCTTGTGGGTGGTTACTGACACCTGTTTAAAGACAGATGAGAGAATTAGACTGAGGGGACTAGAGACGGATCCATGTGACAGGGACATCAATTAACAAAGACCCTTTTTTCTTTATTATCAGAATGAATGTCTTTTGGGCATTTGGGGAAAGTTAAATTAACCACTGGCAATATTAAATGAGTGGCGACCTCTGATGTTAGGTGATGGACAGCTTGAGTGTCCCCTGGGTGAGGGAGCATGCTGTGTCTTTCAATCTCACGATGACTCAGTTGAAACCTGGTAAACATATTTATGTAGGTCAGTGATGGGGCTGGCCACAGTTTAGTAATGGAAAACAGATGGACAGAGAGGAGTACAGTGTTTAGTAATGTGACCTAGAGAAGCAGTACTTACTGAGAATGGGCCTCTGTGTAAACCTGGGTTTACTTTTATTACTTTATCAATAAAATAAAGATGGTAGTCGTCTGCGGTTAGCAACCTCTCTAAAGTACTGAGGTGCAACAATGTCAGTCTGGAGACTAAGGTGCGCCTGGTACAGTCCATGGTCTTTGCAATCACTTGTTATGTGTCAGAGAGCTGTACAATGACTAGGGAGGATAGAAGGAGAGTTGATGCCTTTGAGCTGTGGTGTTGGAGAAGAGTATTGAATATACCCTAGACTGCTAAGAAAACGAACAGGTTCAACCTAGAAAGGGTTAAATCAGGCTGCTCCTTGGAGGCAAGAATTCTGAAGCTTCGTTTGGCATACATTGGACATGTTTCAAGGAAGGACCAGTCCCTTGGAGAGGGACATTGTGCTTGGGAGGGTGGAGGGACAGTGTAGGAGAGGAAGACCCTCGATGAGGTGGATTGATTCAGTGACAAGGGTAAGGGGGTAGGTGTGTTGGTGAGATTGGCACGTGATAGGACAGAGTTTAGGGCAGCTATAAGTCACAGGCTACTCGACAGCGCACAACAACAACAACAAGAAGTCATATTTATATTGTCCATCTATGTGTTTGTTTGACTGTATCCACTGGTATATTGCTGTGATGTTGGAAGCTGTGCTGACGATGTTATAAATACAGCAGGGTCACCCATGGTTTCTGCCGTTTCAAGACTAAGATCAGGGAGAAAGGCCTGGAAATATACTTCTGAAGGTTATTCAGTGAAAACCCTATGAATCACAGAAGAATGTTGCTCAGATAGTGCTGGAAGCTTGGAAAGCACCACAGCAGTGGACTGAATAGACCAGTGATGTTGGAGATGGTAGAGGATAGGGTAGTGTTACCTCCTGTTACACATAATGTGGGGTCAGAGCCAAATCAATGGCAAGCAATAACAACAGTAACGATAACAGTATCTCTTTCATAAAGACACTGTGCAGATTGAATGAGGCAATGAATGCACCAAGCTCAGCGGAGTCAGATACATTGATAGTTGCTCCAACACCAACCACCACTTTAATTCAAGAGAGTGATTGTCACCAACATTACTCTGTATCCCAGAAGTGAGGTATCTGAGCACAGCTTGCTCACTCTCTCTCTCTTTCTCTCTCGCCATCATTACTGTTCAGGAAAGACTTTGAGCATTTTCTAGACACAACAATTTAAGACAAAGAAAACAAGATGGCCTGAAAGCTGGGCAGTCCCCTGCACTAACAGCCACTGGGTGGACGCCTCCTCACTAAGGCTGCTGGGGGTGCCTTCCATGGTCCGAGTTGACTGTGACCCGGGGCGCTCACCTGAGCAGACGACGCTGGCATCCTCGTGGTGCCCACAGTTGTGGGAGAGCCAACCGTTGTGCGGACACTGCCACACCTTGATCTCGCCACCCAAGCACTGCACATCGTCCAGCATGATGTGGCCTGTGCCACCATCAAAGTAGCTTTGTGCTGGGGCCGACAGCGCCTCGCCACAGCCGAGCTGCTGACACACCACGCCGGCGTCCGTCAGGTCCCAGCTGTCATCACACACCGTGCCCCACGTGCCGTTGTAGGCTACCTCCACGCGGCCCTCACACCTGTGACTGCCATTCACCAGCCGCAGGGACACACCTGGGGAGAGGAACGAGGGCTCTTCAGCTGGGAAGCTGGCCCCAAACCTCCTGCTGGTGTGGTGTTCCTCGTACCTGGTCACGCGTCCCCTTGTTACCTGTTAGACTTTGAGTGGGCTCAGCCTATGCCCAACGTGGCCTGGTTTGTAGGAGCCCTCACGGCACAGTGGTTAAGAATGTGATAAAAAGGAAAGTCAGCAGCTTGAACCCACCAGCAACTTGTTGGGAAAACGGAACCGGCCATCTAAGACCGTGGAGGCTCTGGTAGCTTAGTGAAGAGGGGCTGCACTGTCAACCTAAAGACACACAGTTCGAATCCACCAGCTGCTTTGTGGGAGAAAGATGGGCAATCTCTTCCCATGTGATTTACTGCCTTAAAAACCTGCTAGAAGGTAGGCTAGGAGTCGGGTTTGTTTTGACGGCATGTTACAAGAACATCATCTAACCTCATAAAGATCACAGCCTAGAAAGGCCTGTGGGGATGCCCAGGCTGCCCTCTGTGGCCACCCCGAGTTGGAATGACTGAGGGCAAACAGGTCTGCAACAAGCAGGAAGTCCATGCTGAGGTTGTATGTAGCTGGGTGGTGTCTGTGCATCATTACGGGGGTCTAGCGAGTCTCCCGGCTGGGACGTTGCATGCCTCTCGGAGCTCAGGGACATCCCCGCACCAAGCTCAGTATCAAGGGGGCTGTGACTGTCAGATTTGTCCCTTCTGGATTCCGTTTGTCTTCAATTCAGTTCACATCTATATGAACCACAGGCTGGCGCTGCACCTCGAAAATAGTTTTTTCCCCTCAGAAGGATTTTTCTAAATTGTTATTTTCAATATATTTTCCCTTCCTTTAGAGAGAAGTGGTCCTGACTTGAGTCCTCCAGCCTCTCATACAGCCGTGCAAGACCCGAGCCACCTCCCTCCGCCTGGTTGCTTTGGGAGTGGGGAATGACAGCGAGAAGTCATGCAGGGCTGAGGGTGGAGAGAAGGGGTCATCAGAGCCATGAGGATGTCACTGAAGGAAGGAGCTGTGGGCGTAGGCTCTGGAGACACCAGGCCTTAGAGAAAGACATCATGCTGGGAGAGTGAGGCTCAGTGACAGAGGAAGGCCTTCAAGGAGATGGATAGTGACCGCATCAGGGGGCTTGGGTGGACAGTGTGAAGATGGTGCGGGTTTCGATCTGCAGTTCAGAGGGTGGTTATGAGCAATTGTTCCCTTCACGGCACCAACCAGCAGCTTAAAGGGAAAGAACACTAATCTGACACGACCTTCCTCCAGCATGTGTGTTGGGACACCTACCACTGTCCCTTTCGTCCTGCCGAACGGCGTTGTACAGAGCGTAAAAGCCCGTGTTGGTGATCATGGCATCACTCCTGAACAGTGCAGTCAGGACGTTTGAAGAGGAGAGAAAGGTGAGGTCGTTCCCCATACAGAAGCGGCCCATGGACAGTGAGGCCGCCTGCCGCCCGTCGAACACCTCGAGGAAGTCGTACGGGCACCCGTAGATGTCCTCTAGTCTGAGGAGGCAAAGCCACAGTGAACGAATCGCCCTGAAGATTGTGCCGAAATGGTTCCAATGAAACACATCATTTGCAGAGCATCCGGCCAGACCCTGCACCCTGCGCTGCCACCCCCTTCCACTTACACCGCACCACCACCTGCCCTGTCCAGGCGGCCCTGCCCTTAAACAGCTCTAACCCCCACCTTTCTCTTCTTCCACACAGGGACTGTCCCAGGTCAGCTGGCTTCCTCTCTCACCTGGCCCACCACCCTGGGTTCATCTCTGGTTTCTCAGTTGTCAGTATTTCTCCTTGATGGTCTCTCTCCTTCTACCTTGAGTGTCAACTTCTAAGGTGGCCGATTGGCTTAAAGACCTTCTGGTTTTATCAACAAAGTAAAGCCCAAGCTTCTCAGCTTTCCCCGTCATGTTAAACTGAATCTGGGGAACTCTGGTGGCTTAGTGATAAGGAATTGAGCTGCCAATGCAAAGGTATATAGTTCTAATCCACCAGCCACACTATAGGAATAGATGAGCTGTCTCCACTCATAGAATTTACTGCCTCTGAAACTAGTGGAGGGTCAGCTATGGCTTAGTTCCAACTTGACGGTACTCAACAACAACAACAACAACAACAACAAGAAGCAGCAGATCTAGGCTTATCCTCTTGCCCCTGACGTTCGCTTGGTTTGCAGATGCAGTTGGTTCACGCATCAGGCTCCTATACAGCAACAAGACGCTCAGCTCCCCATTCTTTATGGCTAATCACAACGTCACCACTATGATGCTGTCATCAACTTCCTCCCTTTAAAGCTCAGACTGAGCCCCTCCCTTCTTCACGTGAAGAGTATGGCCTCTGTGTTGTTGTTGTGTCCTGTACAGTCAGAACTGACCCAGCGCTTACCCTCCAGTAGGTTTTCAGAGGCAGTTAATCACACTGGAGGGAATATCACCCATCTTTCTCCCGTGGAGCAGCTGGTGGCCTCAAACTGCGTGCCTTTGGGATTTCAGTGCAAATTCTTGCCACTAGGCCTCTCTTGTTGTTGTTTGCCATTGAGTCAAGTGCAACTCATAACGACTCTACAAAAAAAGACCTAATGTCTTTCCATAACTATCGTTATTTCTCCAAGTTCATAGAGTAGTAGTCTTGGATTTATTTCTGACTCCTTCATTTGCTAGCTGTGTGACCTGGGTCAATTTATGGGACGTCCCTGGGGATTTGTTTTGGAATCTCTAAGTGATGATAACCACATGTATAGAATGAGATGGAAACGTGATGGTGCTTGGGAAATGCTCTTGCCCTGACTCTAGCAGGTCCCCCTCCTGGATACAGCACTTAGCATCCTGTGTTACAGGAGAATGAGGAAGATCACATCTGGGTTCTGTATGAAGTAAGAGCCGGTGGAGAGTGCAGTTGTGAGGTCGTCATAGCTGGGTCAGCCTAGCTGGGATGGGTGGTGGGGTCAGGAGTACTTCTGGATCGTCTCCCATTGCACAGAGAATTGAGCTAAATGATTCAGAAGATGCTCCCAAGTGTGGATGGAGGGCATCAATAGTCCAGGGGTAGAATTCTTGTCTTCCATACAGATTAGGGAGCTCTGGTGGCCTTGTGGTAAAGAGTTACACTGTCAACCCAAAGGCAGGTGGTTCGAATACACCAGCTGCTCTGCAGGAGAAATATGAGTAATCTCCTGTGTGATTTACAGCCTCTGGGAATCTGCTAGAGGAGTCTGCTCGATGGCAGTTAACAACAACAACATTCATGAAAACAGTTGGATTCCTGGCCAATGCACTGCGAGAGCAGCCACTGTTGGTGGAGGTAGTTCTGGTGGGGTTTCCAGACTAAAAAAACCGTCATGGATAAATACCTGGCAATCTACGTCCAAACAACAATCAATGGAAATGGAAACCCAGGGTCACAATGAGCCAATCCCACTGTGCTTGGGGTTGCCATGAGCTGTGGAAAGACTCAATTGCAGCTAACAACAAGAAGCTTGGATGAGCAGATCAATGTCTGCTTGGTATTGAAAAAGAGTTGCCCCACAGAAAACCCTTCTCTTTGAGAAATCATGAATTAAATTCTAAGTTAGCCTTTCAAGTAGAAAAGAGCAAAGCTGCTTACTTCAGCTTTGGGATAATCAGTTCTATGTGGAATGTCTCGGCCACGTGGATGACCCAGACACACTCCACATCTGTGGGGTAGTTGGCAGGGTACCAGGGACTGGAGAACGAGCCTGAGAGGCTTGAAAGGACTCCGCCACAAGAGTTACTTCCTCCTGTAAGAGCAGATGAGAGACTTCATCGGACAAACAACTTGTATTCTTCCAGATGGAGACCCCAGAATTTCAACAGCTTCAACTGTTCAGAATCGCACAATGAGAAGGGATCGTGCAGGTATTAGACATAGTTTTGGCTTGGATGGTATGAACTACCAGACCCTGGAGAAGAATTGCGGGAGGAGGGAAGATGTATGACTGGAAATGGGATTGGGCAGGAATCTTCGACTGATGGGACATCTGGCTTCTATGTCAATATTGTTCTCCTCAGTCTCCTGCCGTGCAGTTCCACTGGAGAGAGCCAGCTCAGTTCAAATGGTGAGAATTCACCCATGGTGAGGGCTCCATCCCGTCCATCCCTCCGCTCATGACGTCCAGCACAGACAGAAGTCCACTCTGTGTTTATGAATTATCAAAGTGATTGCCCTCCGTTTCATACTCTACCTGGTAAACGTCCAATAAAAGAGACTTAGTACCTTGAGGCATCGGAGCTTGAGGAATGGGAACTGCAGAAAGAGTGTTAAAGAAAGTCAGGAGGGAGCAGGCTGCCATGAATCACCTCACACCTACGCACCGATGCGGGGCTCGGTCCCTGCTCTGGGTCTTTGACGCACTGTGGAGCCAATGCTCACTCCCCCTCCTTTATCCAGGTGGCTCTTCTCCCTCAGATTCAGTGGATTCACGGGGAAATCTCCATTAACATTCAGCTGTGTGTCTTGTAGCCTCCTAGATGCTAGGGGACCTTACGTCAAGGACTGTGCTGAGATTAATCAGTAGGAATTAGCCACTGTGGTATCACAGGTTTATGACCATGTATGTCGCCATGTCTGTGGAAACCAGCCGAGCGCTGAAGTCCAGAAAAGCAAACACCAGAAGCTAAAAGCAGGGATTGGGAAGATTGTGGACACAGCGTTCCAGGGAAGTAGGACTGACCTCAGCTGGAAGCTCTAGCCACCAGCATTGAAGTCTCTTTCCCCTTTTTTCCAAGTGCCTGTTTGAGTTACTTTCCCTATAGAGTGTATTGCTCTATTCTTATGTATCTATACTCTCCAACACAGAGCAAGGTCTTGGAAAGGGCAGATGTGGGAAGTCTGCTTATTGAAATGTTCATGTTTATTTGAGTTTTACACCAAAGGTTTAGTGGGAAGGAGACTTGGAACAAACGGATCATGTATGTGAGAATTTCTGACTTTGGAGCCTTGCACTGTCGGGGCTCAGTGTCAGACCTACCTGAAGGTGTGGGGGTCATGTCTTGAGACCAGTCTCCAGCATCTGCATGTAGGAAAAAGAAATAAGATATTAGAAAAATCAAGATTGAATTCAGTGAGGACAGAGGGATGGTGGCTTTCTAGAGAAGGCAAGTTTGAGTGGTCAGCTTTTAGTCAAATTAACAAGACTGTGTATCCCAGAGCTCAGAGAGGTACAGAGAACACACAGCCAATGAGTGGCCCTGATGCACTCACGCTCAGGGCAGAGTGAGGCTTTTGATATTATCTGCCTGCTTGGCTGAGGGCACATTCACGGACCAGGCAGCTTCCCTTGTTTGCGGTATCCTGTCCTCTGCACTGTCTCCATCACTAAGACACCAGAGGCTGGACTATCAGGATCTTACGGAACGAGAAGGGGCTACCTGAGCAGATGACACCAGCGTCCTCGTGGTGGCCACAGTTGTGGTCTGCCCAGCCTGAGCTGGGGCACTGGCCAAGGTGGCTCTCACTTCCTGAACACTGAATGTTGTCCAAGAGGATGTCTCCAGACCCTGGGCCGAAGTGAGCTTTCCCTGGGGCAGCGACGGCCTGTCCACACCCGAGCTGTCGGCACACGACCTGGGCTTCATTCAGGTCCCACAGGTCGTCGCATACAGTCCCCCAGGTCCCTTGGTGGAGCACCTCCAGGCGTCCTGAGCACCGACCTGAGCCGCCCACCAGCCGCAGAGCTGGTCCATCTTCTGTATAGAGCAGAGGTTTATTTTTGGGTTTGAGGAGTGTGATAGTTAGGGTTAAGTGTCAACTTGGCTAAGCTATGATTTCAGTGTTTTAGGAGAAGTGATGCAACTAATCATTTTGAGATCTGATGTGAGCAGCCAATCAGTTGCAAGGAGGGGGGCGTTCCCCTGGGGCGTCTGGCCTGCACCCAACAGACACGGATGTTCAAGCAAACTTGACTTGCTCTCACTCTTGGTCTGATTCATCATCCTCTGACTCCTGATCTTGGTCGTGAGCCAGCAGCCGACTGCTTGACCTTGACTGACAGGTTTTGAGATTTGTCAGCTCCTGAAATCTCATGAGCCAGTAGCCTTCTGCCAGATCTGCTGATTTGGGGCCTTGAATCTCTATCCAATGCACAGATGTGTTTACTCCATGCCAGAACTCTCAACTTCGTCACTCAACTTCTCATCTGCAACCTTTTTCACTACCCAATATCACTTCTTGTGTGTGTGTGTGTGTGTGTGTGTGTGTGTGTGTGTTTGAAAAACCCATCTCAGCCTCTGCTAATTGTGAGCCACTCAAACTAGAACTACGTTGTCTTTCAAAGATTGGAAACCTCCTTGAATCTTCCTACCTGAGTCCTTTTCGTTCTGTGGAATGGCATTGAACAGAGCGTAAAAGCCCACATTGGTTATCATAGAGTCACTTCGGAACACCACAGTCATGATGTCTGCAGAGGAGAAAAAGATGACAGCAACGGGGGCACAGAACTTCCCCATGGAGAGCGAGGGGATCCTGGGGCCATCGAAGATTTCAACCCAGTCATAGGGACACCCGAGGATGTCCTCCAGTCTGCAGGGAACAGAAGCGGGTAACAAGGGTAAACAAAACCAGTAAGGAGGGCGTTTGTTTAGAAAGGGGGAAAAATTTACCAAAATAAGGTTAAATCAGATGTGTTTAGGGGGGAAAATATCCCCAACTACTGAATTTTTTCAGCCTGGAAGTGACTGATTACATAATGTTCTAAAGTTCATCCATGTCTCAATCTGGATAGTTAACTTGCCTTAACAAAGTTTTCATGGAAAGATTGATCTTTATTCTAATATCACTAGCCAATAGACTTGTTCCAGATAGACTCCGACAAAAAAAGTCCTTTTCTTACCTCAAACTTGGAATCATGAGTTCTATGCGGAATTTTTGATCCACATGGATTTCCCAAACACATTGGATGTCTGTTGGGTAGCTCTCTGGATACTGCGGGCTAGCAAATGAGCCAGAGAGGCTAGAAATGACCCCTCCACAAGGGCTACTTCCCCCTGAAACAACAGGGAAAGCGTGTGAAAGGAGGCGCCAGGTCCCAGCGCAGGCAGGTCTCCCTATACTGTGCTTTGCTTTTCTACACACTGAATGTCTGTGGCAACCTTGCACTGGATAAATCGGTTGGCATTGTTTTCCTAACAGCAAGTGGTTACTTCATCTCTCTGAAGTCCATTTCGGTAATTCTCACAATATTTCAAGCCTTTCCTCTATGCTTTTCACACTGAACAGACTACAATAGAGTGTAAACACAGGTTTTCGAGGCACTGAGAAACCAAAAAAAGATTGTGTGACTCACATGACTGTGACATTCATTTTCCTGCAGTGCTCTGAAACTGAACCCACAGCATCCCCAAAGTCTGTCTGTGATGACAAGCCCACACCCATCAGCCTGGTGGATCTGGGAGCGGCTGGTCTTGGTGGGCAACACCGTCTAAACTGATGGAGTTTAGAGGAGCGAGGATGCATCCAGCCATCCTCTAGCTGTATCCCTGGTTCCATCTGCAGGTTACAGTAACGGTGGCTAGGTCACACTGACACTGGAATCCCAGGAAAGAGGGCTTTCGGAAGGGTCTCCCAGCAGCAGCCAATAATGGACTGTTCCTGCTGCAGGTGCCTCTGAGTCTGTACCCCAGCCAAGCAGGCGGAGCCCCGGACCAGGCTGAACTGAGTCACGGTCTCGTCAGTCTCTGCCACCCTTTTACCAACTCTAACTGATAAATCCATATTTCTCCTTCTCTGCTTCTCTGGTTGAAAAAGTCAGTGTTTGTAGAGTGACAGAAGTACCAGGGCAACACCCTCAGTAAGGTGAAGGTCAAGGGGCTTCTTCAGCCCAGAGCGCTGACTGCCTGGCTTCCTCAGTGGAGTGGCCATCACAGAACCAACAGGGAGGGTCCTGAGTACAGACCTAGCACCTACCACGATGGTTCTCTCAGAATGGAGTTCCCGTCCTAATTAGAAACGAATAACTACCTGGTCTATGGTCCTGAGGTGCTGGAGAAAGACCTAGAAGGGAAAAAGGAAGAAGATGATGCTGTTCAAGGGAAAATATTGTTTCAGCTACAAGTTAGTGTAATGTCTGAAAAGGCAGGGTGAGTCCTCCCAATAGTCTTGTGACTGATAGAAGTCCACAGGCTTTGACTTGAGTCTTTGAATCAGCCTGGGTCCTGTGACAGCTTTAACCAATCAATACTGCAGAAGCCACATTGCTTAGAGTGGCAGCTCCCACTTCCTGTCTCTGGCAACACTGGCTTGCCCGTGGAGCTCGGATGGATGGGATAAGATGACGGACAGCTCTAGCATCATTTCAGGATTTGTGTGACATCTGCTGGTTGCGTTTTTCTAACAATTGTAACAAAAAACCTTTGGTGGCTTGTATTACAGATAAATATCTTTCTATAATTAAATTAACACATCTTATATAACAGGAAAAAGCATAGGCTTCCAAAGAGTATGTGCTTGGAACCACACTGATGGTGCATAGACATGGTCTTATTATTTACTTATTGATGGTCTGGAGAAAGTTTCTGAATCTCAAATTTTTCTTGTGCAAAATGCAAAATGCAATTTTTTGGTAGTTTTCTCCAGAGGATTTGTAATAATCTGAGCAAAATGCCTTCCCACCTTTTCTCTCCTTTCATCTGTCTTTGTGTAGCTTGGACCACTGAGTAGGTGGGCAAATAAAATGGGAAGACAGTGGGAGCAGGGGTTTTAAAGCACTGGCAGATGGGATCCAACAAAACTGACTAGCTCTAGGAATCAGGCTAACTTTATAAGTATCAGTTTACCGATCTGGGAAATGGGAATAATAGAAACCCCCATTTCAAGGGGTTATTGTGGGGATATTTTTCGTTAAATGTAGGAAGGGCTCAGAGAAGTGCCCACTTCTTAGCATTTATACTTACTGTTATCATCCTTATCATAATTACGACATTACTTGGACCTAAAAAAAAAAAAAAGGAGACATACCTGGCGATGTGGGCGGAGGCAGGTCTTCAGCATCTGAAGGCATAAAGAAAGATCATGTGTCACACTCTTCATGATTCCCAAGGATGGGGAAGCTGGGATGGCAAGGGTCTGAGTGGAAGTGAAGGGCAAGGGGCCCAGTGACTACCCACTGGGCAGCTCCAGCCTCCTGGGGACAGGGCTCTTAGCCTAGGGTTGAGGCATAACAGCTGGGTCCACTCTCCCCATGGCGTCCAGGCCTAAATCACACTCGGTCCTTCTTTTACAGTTCATCTGGACTTCTTGTTAAAATGCACTCCTGAACACTTTTCCAAACCATCACAGTCTCTAATGTGGGGCCGACTGTACTGTACTGTACTGGTAACACCCCAGGTCAAATGGAGACCTCCCTGGTTCAACCCTGGGGCAACGGCCAGATCAGAAGGGAAGCTTGGGCATCAGCATGCAAGAAAGAGCAAGTGGAAGGTGGGTGAAAGGTCATTTAGAGGCAGGGGTACAAACATCTTCAATTGCAGGACCAGGAGCTGGCCTGAGAAGGGAGGGTACCTGAGCAGAAGACCCCGGCGTCCTCGTGGTGGCCACAGTTGTGCTCCAACCAGCCCAAGTGGGAGCACTGACCCAGGAAGCGCTCCATCCCTGAGCACTGGACATTGTCCAGGAAGATGGTCCCTGAGCCTGGGCCGAAGTGAGCCTCCGTGGGTGCAGAGATGGCCTGCCCACACCCGAGTTGTCGACACACAACCTCGGCCTCACGCAAATCCCACAAGTCGTCACACACGGTCCCCCAGGTCCCTTGGTAGAGGAGCTCCACACGGCCTGAGCACCGCCCGGAGCCACCCACCAGCCGCAGCTCTGGCCAGTCCCCTGTGGACAGAGATGTGATCGCTGAGTTGCTGAAGGCTCTCGCCTGGGGCTGCTAACACAGAGCCTCAGAGGAGGACACAGCTAAGAGGGAGTGGTTGTTGTTGTTGTTGTTGTGTACCAGAGTCGGAACTGACACCCAGCTCACACTGGAGTGGTTTTCAGAGGCAGTTAATTGCACAGGAGGAGATTGTCAACCTTTCCCCCATGGAGCTGCTAGTGGACTCGAACTATGTGCCTTTGGGTTTGCAGTGCAGCTAAGCACTGGCCTTGGGCCCTGGGGCTTGCTCATTACAGCCCCCAGGCGTGCGTTTATGAGTAGCAGGATATGCTGACTTCAGTTAATGTAGCTGTATTCAAATAGTATTATATTTTTCTTTTACTTTTCAAAACAAAGGCCACATAGTGGAGTGGACTTGCGGGGAGGGATTGTATGACAATGAAATAATTTTTCTTTTACTTTTCAAAGAGAAGAGTGAACTGAGGGGAGGTTGGGCAGGGAGAAAAGTGCAACAATGAATGAATGGAAACCCAAAGTCTCTGTAAACTTTCATTAAAATTAATAAAAAATGAAAACATAAATAGTATTACATGCACAATAGTACGATGGACTTTAAGGCAGGAATAGAGAGATAAAATTCTTGCCTTTAGTGAATCTTGGCCCGTTGCTGTTGAGCTGATCCCGACTCCTCATGACCCCAAGTGTGTGAGTGAGTGTGAGTGTGTGTGTGTGTGTGTGTAGAACTGTGCTCCCCAGACTTCTTAATGGCTGAGGTGGTTTTTTAAAAATTTTTATTAATTTTAATGAATGTTTACAGAGACTCAAAGTTTCATTGCACTTTTCTCCCTGCCCACCCTCTACCCCCCCCATTCACTCTTCTCCTTGAAAAGTAAAAGAAAAACTTCTTTTATTGTTATGAAATCTCTCCTCCCAAGTCCACTCCACTGTACAATGGCTGAGGTTTTTTAAAAGGCACTTCTGGATGGACTTGAATCCTCAGCCATGGACTCTTTGTGGAGCTTAGAGTCTATTAGACAAATACAGACACTAACATAACACACTCTTCCACTCTGTGAGATGTACAGTGAAGACCAGGATGCTGGGGAGGGGTTGATGGGACAGGAATGTGGGGAAGAACCTCTAAACATACTGGGGGAAAGCTGGTCAGAGGTGAGTGGAGCCGGAGGGACCAGCACACGTAACACCTCCAGAAAAACTCCAGTGTGGGTGAGTCGGTTCTGATTCAGAGAGATTTCCCCTCTGTTGTCTGAGACTAGGAGTGTTTATGGGCTGAGATTAAAAAAAATGTGGACATGGGAAACCCCCCCATAACATAACCATCATCTGTAAAAAATGGAAACTATAATCCTAAAGAGGACATTGTTAACAGCATCTCGGTAATGGGAGAAACTGTAGTGCAGATGGCAGTGAACTTAGAGCCAGGAGGATAAATGGTTCTAGGCAGCATGCGGACAGCTGATGTTGAACGAGTCCAGTCTCCCACACACAAAAGTGTCACCTACCTGGACTGCCTAAGAGCGATTCTTCAGCATCTGTGGGTAGAGGACACATATGTCAGTACTTCTGCGAAATCCTAATATTAGTAACTGAAGATGCAGGTTTTAATGGCATTCCTTAAGAGCCCGTTAATGTGACATTAAGACAAAATTGCTTCTTTTAACCACTTTCATGACTTGTTTTCTGCTTTGAATTTATTGGTGCCATAAATTTTTAGTAAGGAAATCAAGGGAGAAAACTTTTTTGAGGGAATTTGTATTTTGATACAACTATTTTGTATACATATGTCCGAAGTAGACTTTGGCGGTAGAATTGGTGAAGCGAAGACTGTTACTTCAAGTTCATGCAATTATACAGTCCCTGGCAGGTGGTAGTGTACAGGGTAAGTGAGACAGTAGCAACCCAGGAAGCTTGACAGGCACAAATGTTGGTGCGCGATAGATGTCTCATGGGTCATGAGATGTTAAATAACACAGCACTGGGAGAATGTGCAGAAGCAGGATTAACCCTGGGCCCCCAGGAGAATGAACAAATCTCCGTCTTGGAAGAGTGTACAGAAAATGTTCCTTAGAAGATGAGATGGTGAGAATTTCTCTCATGCACTTTGGACATATTGTTGTTGTTAGTTGCTGTTGAGTTGCATGTAACCGTATGAGCAACAGATCTGAACCCTGTACTATCTCATGCCATCCTCACACTCCCTGACATATTACAGCCCATTGCAGCAGTCACCATGTCAATCCTTCTGGTTGAGGGTCTTCCTCTCGTTCACTGACCTTCTAGTTTTCCAAGTATCATGTTCCTCTCTAAGGAACAGCCCCTCCTAGCAACATGCCCAAAGTATGTGAGGCAAAGCCTCATCCTCTTTGCCTCCAAAGTCACTCTGGCTGCACCCTCTCCAAGACATATTTGTTTGTTCTTTTTCTTTTTCTTTTATTTTATTATTTTTGTGTGCGTGTACCATCAAATCAGATCTGACTGGTACAGGAGGAGATTGTCCCTCCTTACCCGGCAGAGCATCTGGTGGATTGTTTGTTCTTTTGGCTGTCCAAGGGATGTTTAGTACTCTTCTTCAACACCACAGTCAAAGGTATCAACTTTCTGTCATCTTTCTCAGCTTTTACAGCTCTCAGATGCATTGCAAGTGATCAGGAAGACCATGGCCTGAATCAGACACACTTTATTGACATCATCACTCCTTAATAATTTGGAGCGGTTACTAATTGCAGACTTGGCTTCTGGTACCAAGGGCATTATTGGGGATCCAAGTAAGATTAAGTTGTTGACACTTTCAATCTTTTCTCCATCTATCATGATGTTGCCTATTAGTCCACTGGTAAAAAGTCCATGTTTTCTTGACATTGAGATTGAAGGCTGTATTCTTTGATATTCTGCAACAAGTACTTCAAGTCCTCCTCACTTTCATCAAGCATGGTTGTGACATCTGCATAGCTCAGTTTCAGAGTGTCCCTCTGATCCTGATGCCACATTCCTCTCCAGAGAGTCTAGCTTCTCAAATGATTTGCTCAGCATACAGACTGAACAGGTATGGAGAGAGAAGACAGCCCTGAAGCATTTTGGACATGTATCGGGAAAGATTAATCCCTGGGAAAGGACATGATGCTTGGTAAGTTTGAGAGTAAATGAAGAAGAGAAAAACCCTTAATGAGAGGGACTGATAGAGTGGCTGCAATAAGGGGCTCACACGTAGCAACGGCTGAGAGGATGGTGGGGACCTGACAGTGTGCCTTTCTGATGCACATAGGACCACTATGAATGGGCCCTACTTGATGGTACCTAATTACAACAACATGTTTGAGGATCTTGTCCACTCCTGGCTGATTGTGGACACTAGAAGTTGGTCTTAAAGTGTTATGGATTGGAGGTGACTCTCTGAGAGGGGAGGTTACCTGAGCAGATGACACCAGCGTCCTCATGGTGACCACAGTTGTGTTCTGACCAGCCCGAGTGGGCACACTGACCCAGATAGCGTTCCACGCCGGCACACTGCAGGTTGTCCAGGAAGATGTCCCCAGAGCCTGGTCCGAAGTGAGCCTTCCCAAGGGCGGACATGGCCCGACCACACTCCAGCTGACGGCACACAACTTCTGCCTCATTCAGGTCCCACAGGTCGTCACACACGGTGCCCCAGGCCCCTTGATGGAGAACCTCCACTCGGCCCGAACAGCGACCCGAGCCACCCACCAGGCGCAGCTCTGGGCCGTTTCCTGGGGACAGAACCCTGGTAGTAGTTGTCCTCCAGGGGCAGCACTTACTCCCCGTGAGGTGGCTTACCTCAGCCTCCCACTACCATCATTAGGGAGGGAGGACCCCGTAAAAGAGGCAGCTGTTAGCCCAGCTCTTAAGTGGACCTGACACGTCATTGTTGCTGCTGTTTTACAAGCTGTCTAGTCAATTCCAAATTACAGCGACACTGTGTACAACAGGTCCTGTACAACAGGTCAGACCCTGCCTATCTTGAGCTGTCCTCACTCTCTCCGTGGTGCTTAAGCCCACTGATATGCTCACTGTGTCAGACTTTGGGGGCCTTCCTCATCTTCACTGACCTTTCTGAACTTGATGTCCTCCTCTAAGGACTGCCCTGTCCTGATAAGACATCCACATGGTCATCTGTGAGATGATAGTTCACCATCTTTGCCTAAGGAGCACGAGGGCTCTACTTCTTTAAGAGACACAGCATTATGATTGTCAAAAGGGTATTTAGCATAAACAATTTCTTGAACGAAGCTCTTTAACTAAGTGTCTACTTTGCCAGAGGCATGTGCCAATTTGCTTTGGCTATGTGCAGAAAAAGCATCATCAATAAAGCTTACAGTGATTTGTAACACTATGAAAGTGTGTGTGCATATGTGCATATCCTCAAATGTAAAATACCTGAAAACAAGCTGGGGAATATCAACATACCAGTATTATCTACCACGCACTGAAGAGTGGAGACGCAGAATAATTCATCCCAAATCTCACAACTGGTAGGTAATAGTTTTACACTCAAGTATCCTGACCCTGAGTTTCTCTGCTCTTCCCCAACTGACTTCTGGCACTCTGTTCACTTTGAAAATGCCTGCTAGTGCTGCATGAGGCGAAACTGGAGTGAGTTAAACTCATATAAAAGAAGCCAAGAATCTCACTAGGGGGCACTTTGAAGGCTCCCCAGGTTTGTGGACCATGAAAGGCACAGAAAAGCGAATTTTGCTAATCCTGCAGTGCCCAAACCAAAAAGATGCCAGTGTGTTCCAGGGGTCCTAAAGTCTTGGGAGCATCCATTGGAAAACCACTTCTAGTTTGTCCAGCTTCTGCTCATGAAGCAGGTGTAAGTGCCAAGAAAAAAGAAGTATGGCTGGTAAACAAGGCTGTGTCCCAGGCTTACCTGGCCTTGCTGTGACCGTCTCAGGTGTCACTGTTGGGATGGCTGTGGATACAAGAAGAAAATCTTTAACAACAAGTGGGGATCTGCGTAAATGAAGACAGCAGCTAAGATTATCCCCACGAAGCATCAAAATCATAACTGATTCATTCTTCTCATGTGATTATCATTTAATCAACTAATTGACTATTTTCACATGAGCTTCCAACAGGGATGGCATTCACTGCTACCCAGGCACTAGAAACAGTCCTCTCTGTGTTATACATGCAAACATTTCCAGTCATTGTCCTGAGAAAATGCAGTAGCTATTTCTCCTGTGTACTTTGACTACACTGACTTTCTTTAAAAAGAGGGTATTCTAACAAGGAAAGTCTCATTGTCTCTGATAAGAAAATGGACTTAGGACTAAAACCACAATTAAGAATACGCAGTGGTCCAATTGTTGATATGTAATGTGGTTCCAGTGTGACTGGGCTCTCCAATGTCGTTATACTTTCCCACTGGGGCTTCGAACCTGAGCTAAATGGTTAAGTTAGAGCCAGTGGAGGACATTCATTGCATAAATCCCTTGTCAATAGAATTTTGACCAAAAGGGGCTCTGGTGGTACAGTCCCTCTGGTGGTACAGGAACTTGTGCCATTAACCCAAAGGTGGCACCTCTCCACCAGTTCGAATCCTCTAGCAGCAACTTGGGAGAACGAAGGGTAATCTCCTCCTGTGCCATTTACAGCCTCTGAAAACCTGCTGGAGGCTCAGCCACGTCAATTCTGACTCGATGACCATGAAACAGAGAGGAGAGAAAGTGAGAGTCCTGCTCAAAGTGGCCACCACGCAGTCAAATTGGTGCAGCTGCTCCCACCTCAGAGTCGGGCACCCCTGTCTGCTTCCTGCTTGGGTTAAAACCCGATGTGGAAGAGGTTGGGTTGCTATGGAACATGTGTGATCATAACGGAACCTTTTCAAACTGATCCAAAGCACTGGGAAGAAACATGCAAATCTATTCGAATCCTTCCTCTCTGAGACATTTACACAGGACATCGGGAAACAGACGGGACAAAAACAGGGCAGTGAGAACAGGAGGCATGGAGACAGAGGAGGATGGAAGCATGGAACCACGATAAAGATTAAGCAGGAGAAGGACTCACTGATTAGATGTGGAGTGTGTGGAAGAGACTCTGCAAAAACAAAGAACCCGCAGTCAGTCCTTGTTTAATGTCACGCATGGTTTCCTCCTCCCCGCCCACGCGGTGAGAGGAAGCATGGCCCCTGAAGTTTATATTTTTTGCCAAACTGAATTGGAATAAGCTTCATCCCGGTGCTTGTTAGAAGTACAGGCAGGTGCTTTGGGCTGCATCTTGTACTAAGTGGGTGCTAGTCATTTAGACTTTCATAAACTCTGCCTCATTTTGTTTAGTGCAGGAAGTATTGCTGGGTGATCTTGGGACAACAGCTGAGCCTCTTAGGCTCAATTTTCTCATCTGTAAAAGGGGAAGAACCATGGGCTTGCATGAAGATTAAATGAATTAATACTTGGGAGTTGCTGCTTGGCATAGAACAGCTACTCAGTGGGTAGCCCACCTGGCATTGACCTTTATGGGCCTAGTGGTGATTCAAATCCTCAAACTGCTCTGTGGGAGGAGGGTGGGCAATCTCCTTCCATGAGATTTACTGCCTCTGGAAACCCACTGGCAGGTTAGCTGTAAGTCAGTTCTGACTCGATGGCACACAACCACAGCAATGTGTCTAACACCAACAGGATTGAGTTCCAAAGGCCAGACTGTTATGTAAAAATAAGTATTACGCAAAAAATGAAGAGTGACTACATCAGATCACAAAATGAAAGATGACTACATCACTGCATAACTACCATATTCTATTACTACATAACATTATGTCATCATGAATAGAGATCAACTTGATGGCTATGAGTCACAACTGTATTAACATAGAATATCTTCGGAAGCACCTTCGCCTTCCTAATGGTCTGGTTGTGATGAATTATTTACATGAAATTGGACAGCTAATTTTGAAGCTCTAAGTTATTGAAAATTCATGATGTATCACTCCTGTGTTATCATGAGTCATTTCATAAAGCGCTCACAAGCTAAGAAAGAAAATTGTATTAATATCTCCATTATGTAGGGAAGAAATGTGAGGCTTGGAGAGGTCCAGCTGCCTGCCTGTGGCCCCCGTGTAAGTGCTGGAGCCACACCTGACCCCACACCTGGTACCTGGGCAGACAGTGACGCTCCAGGGGGATGCTGCTCTTTAACATCAGACATACCTTTGGGTGCAGAGTAATAATAAGCGACGAAGTTCTTCCCGATATTGTTGAAACTTCGGAAGTACACGAGGGTCATTGAGCTGGCGGAGGACTCATAGGTGAGGTATGAGCCAGTACAGGTCTTCCCCAGGGACTTGCCTGAGATTGGAGGGCCATCCAGGATGTCAAAATATTCATTGGTACAGTCGAGGCTGTGGAAGCAAACACTCATGGGGCCTCCTAGTCTTCACATCAGAAGATCTCAGAGGGGCAATGCTGTGAACAAGACCCTTCTCTTTATCTAGAGTCTGGGGACTGAAAACCTGTGGTCACCCAAACACTAGAATGGACTTTTTCTATATGGTTTTGTCTCACTGAGAGTCATTGCCTTGAGATGGTGGAATATTAACAAGAAGAGAGAAAAGCCGAAGGACTAGGTAGAGTCCATTAGGGGCCTCTGTGCAGCAGAGACCACAGGACACCAAGGCAAATAGTGTCAGTTCCACCACGTAGTCCACCACACATGAGGAGGACATGGCTGCAAGCTCTAAGCTTACAGCACCCCAGCTGCCCAGGAGGAAGGGGACCCCCAGCTTGGCTCAGCTTACTCCTGGAGATCATCGGATGCTGCCGGAATTATTCTGTGTGGCTAGGTTTTGTCCAGATGCCACCAAGGCTAGAATCAGAAAATCATTCCCTGCCTAGTCCGAACAGCTATCTACTTCAAGCCACATTTTAATTAACCGAGATTCTAGAGTAGTAAGGGATTTCCTTTTTCTTGGGAATTCATGTACATTAGATATCTACAAAGAGCACCAAAATCTGACAATCTGTAATGGTAAGTAAGTTTTTCATTTCAGTAGGTCTGGGTTAACACTGGGATCTACATGTGTAAGCAGTGGTCAGAAGGCCAGGACTGACCCACAGGTATAACGTGTGTGCATGGATACTGGCCATAGCCTATTCTATTCCATTCTAATAGCTTATAAGGTGAGTGTCATTCTAATGAGAAATGTGTGAAAACACACAAAACTGAATTATATATATATATTTGTTGTTAACTGCCATCGAGTCATAGCTAACTCATAGCAACCCTATGAACAAAAGACATGAACATTTGTATAACTTTCATCATTTCACCGAGTTCCCGGAGGCAAGGTATTTCAGAAGTGGATGCCACTCCTGCTTCCAAACTTGTTTTAATGGGGTGCTCCACCAAACACTGTCCACCATGGGTAACCCTTCTTGCATTTGACACATCAGTGTCACAGTGTTCAGCTTCACAGCCACCACGAGTTACCTCTGTACAGCAATGCACAGACCAGTGCTGGACCACTGAGAAGAATGTTTGACCAAAACATGAATCTGTATATAGGATAAAAAGACACATGCACTCAGATACAGATACATGCACATAAACACACGTGAAAACTGAGTCAAGCTAACAGTTGGTATTGTTTTGTGCTGCTGAGTCTGAACCAACTCATAGCTGACCCTCCAGTGGGTTTTCAGAGGCAGCAGTAAATCATGTGGAAGTAAATTGCCCATCCTTTTCCCACAGAGCAGCTGGTGGATTTGAACTGCATGCCTTTAAGATTGCAGGGCAGCTTCTTACCACCAGGCCACCAGAGCTCCATATTGTACTCATGCCAGCTTCCTGTTGTTGTTTTTTGTTTGTTTGGTTTTTTAAATTATTATTTTATTATTAGTTTTTGTGTGTGTGCTGTCAAATCAGATCTGACTGGTACAGGAGGAGATTGCCCCTCCTTCTCCAGCAGAGCATCTGGTGGATTCGTACTGCGTACCTGTGGGATTGCAGTGCAGCTTTTTGCCACTAAGCCACCAGAGCTCCCTTAGCTTCCTGGTTTTGATACTGCCTTACAGTGATATGTGTACAGGGGAAAGTCAGGTGAAGCATACCAAGGGCTGCAAGTGCTATTCTTCAACTTCTTGTGACTCTGAAGCTAATGACAAAATAGAAATTAAAATGCATTCCTAAATGGTTACTTTATTTAAAATAATTTTGCTAATGAGAATAGAAGAATAAATTATTGGATTCTTAGCTACTCAGTGTAGTTGGGCCACATGCTAAGACTTACTTCAAGTACGGAAATGCCAGCAGTATGTGGTCGGAAGTATTTGCTTTGATTTCCCAGACACAGGTTATATTGTCATGCATTTCATTCCTTGGGGGATTCCTGATGGATCCAGAGGAGGTGGCAATGAGGCCGCCACACGGAGATTTTTCTAAATGCAGGAAGAAGATATTTTAGAATTCCAGCTCCTGTCCCTATTCAGTTTACTATTTTGTAATTCACAAGCTTTTGTACTTTAAAATTTTCTTTCTCTCAACAAAATTACCTCTGTAATTATTGTGTGAATGTGTTTTTAGGATGCATTAGATGTATAAAACCTGGCAAATCTAGGAAATTAGGGAATAAGAGGTGTGAATTTTGAGATATCTTTTGTCTCTTTTGGAACCTACCATGGCTTTGGGCTTGCTCAGAAGAGCCCTCGTTTGCCGCCAGCCAGAACCTTTCCAACAGGCCACTGTCCAGTGGTCAGTCCCGAAGCTGTGACTTTTATCAGGTCACCATATATAATGTAGAAAGCACTGCCTCATTGTCTCCTAGTCAAGACTGAGTCACGGAGGGACCTCTCCTCTGTGTATAGAGATGGCGATGTCCCACCCACCTCTGGTGGAATTTTAGTAGCGGGAATAATTTGCCTCCATTCAACCACATCAATTCCCACAAAGACTGACAACATTCTGCACCCACCTGTCCCGCTTCCCAGCTGCTGACTTGTTTCTCCATCTGCTTGTCTGTCTATCTACCTGTTCAACATTTGGTCCCACGTGAACAGGGGCATCCTTGCCAATGGAAACAGATGGTTTTCCCCCATCAGATAACCTGGCTATGCAAGAACCGTACCCACAACCTCTATGTGGAGGTAAGATTGACTCTGACCGTCTAACTGTAGCTCTTTCCTACGAGGACAAGTCAGGCTCTCCGAGTACCAATATTACTCTAGTCCTTTATTGACAAGTAGGGCTAAAAAGTTCAAAGGTGATTCTGATAGTTTAAAACATAGACAAGAGAGGAGAAATAAAGGTAGATGAGATGGAGAGGGAGAATGGGGATCATTGGAGAAGGAGAAAGGGTGAAAGAAAGACTGCCCATCCCAGTGGGGTCCTCTAAGTGATGACCCTGGAGAAACAGCTGTGTCAGTGACAGCAAGACCACCCTTCACTCCAGGTGCCCTTGTGGACAGGCCAAGAAGGCTGGCACCACACGGCCATTTGGGATTCCTTTGACTGATCAGTCATAGAACTAAAACCTTCTATTTGTTGTTCTCCATAATTAAGCCCTTCTCTCAGATCACTGGCTCAAAGAGATAATCCAGAAAGGGCAAGAGTATTTTGACCCAATGTCCTTGAAGAGCTACTGCAAGGCCTGAACTATAGAATCATGACCAGAATAACCAAAGACACAGAAGTCTCACCTGTAGGTGTTTTTCCCACCAGGGCAGCTGAGGTATGACCTGTCAGACACACAAAAGACATCTGGGCTGTTGGCTGGCTCCCTGTCTGCACATCAGCTTCCCTGTGGAACCTCGATCATTGCTCAGCTCCTTCTAGAACCTCTGAACCAGTGTCAGGGAGTGAGGCCTGAATGTATAGGGATTTGTAACTGTTGGAGGGGTGGACGTAGACTCTGGTGCATTGTTCTCTTGTTACACAGGCAAATGAGATTTTTAAAAATTTGGGGGTTTCAGGAAACGAAAAACATGGAATTCTGCTTCCTGTAGCCTGTCCAGTGACTCAGGGGTCAGAATAGGAGGCTGATTCCGGTTTCACTGGCTCGTTTGGCTTGGTGCCGCTCACACAGAAATAAGGAGTAAGATGAGGTGAATCTTGTCTTGCTTTCCCGCCAGCAAGTCTCAGCATCACCCACGGAGAATCTTTCACTGGGTCAACCCATTCCCATCTTCTGACATCAACAACTTAGCACAGAGTGTGAGTTAAATAAACTTCATCAAGCTTTCCAAAGTCAGTTTTATTCAGGACTCACTGGTTGAGGACTGGGCAGAGGACAAAGGGGTCTGGAGGTCTGAGGAGGGAGAGAGGCCACTGGCATGGACAACTCTGAGCATTGAGTCTGGGCATTTTGGGAAGGTCACCAGCAATGCAAACTTGGTGGAACCATAATTCCTTTGTTCTTACACCACGAACAAGGCAAAGGCAAAGAAGGAGTAGGAACAGAATCCATTTCCTTGACTTTGATGGCCTGGTATTGATAAGTTCAGAATTCTCTATAAAACCATAGTTACATAGTTATAAAACTGACATCAGTTTTTTTCAGCCTGTAAACTAGTTACTCAGCCTCAGAATTCTGTTTCCTTTCTTTAGTCCTGTGGAGTAGTTTAATCTGTCTGTTTACCAGGAGAGGAAACGCATCTCTCCTAGGTCTCTTTGAAGCTGTTTCCCAGTCATATGTAAATTGTATATTAATCTGCCTGTTTACCAGGAAGGGGACTGTGCCCTTCCTGAATTACTGGTACTTGAATATGAACTGTTCTTTTCAGATATAGAAATTCTTTTATTTTACTAACAAAAGTTTATTGTTCAGTAAGTTGGTGTCTCACCCTAGAATAAAAGCCTGGTGACCTCTCCCAGTTGGGGAGGCAGTCTGAGGCAGACCCACCGTCCTCCACAGATCTGTAATAAAGTGCTTATGGATATTACAATCCGTATGTCTTATTGGCAATTGACTACGGAAAGAACCCCTTGGGTTCAGTAACAACTTTGCCTGGGTCTGGCTCATGCCTCACTTATCACAGGGCAGCAAATGTCCTTGATCATCTTTTTACCCAAACTTCATTCTCCAAGCTGCTCAGAACTGACACACCAAGTGCTGCTCAGAAGTCTGAGGCGTGAAGAATCTATTTCTTGAGTGGAGAACGGTGGGATCAGAGGAGAGGCTGGACCAGATGCTTCTGAAGGTACCGCCTAGCTCTCCCACTGGGCCACCAGGTGCTTCCCTATCTCAGCATTCCATGGATGTGGACAGAAGGACACACCCAGTTTCTATCAAGACCCCCCCCCCAACACGCATGCATGTACACACACACACACACACACACACCAAGGCTTTTATAAACAGCAGACGTGGGCATTGCCTTTCCTACCTGGTGATGTGAGGGTCGGGTGTTCAGCACCTGTGTTAGAAAGAAGCACATCTCCCATGAGCAGCTGACCAGATGATATACAGATTCTCTTTCAGTAGCTATTTCTACTCTGAATTTAGAAAGTGTCCTCCGAGAAAGAGCCCAAGGTCGGCCGGCCCAGCAAAGGAGCGGTTTACCTGAGCAGATGACCCCGGCGTCTTCATTGTGGTCACAGTTGTGGGAAAACCAGCCCATGTGGGAGCATTCGTCCAGGTGCTGCTCACTGCCCCCACAGTGCACATTGTCCAGGAGGATTTTTCCAGAACCTTCCCCAAAGCGGGCCTCGCCTGGGGCCGAGATGGCCCACCCACAGCCCAGCTGCTTGCACACGACGTCTGCTTCCTGCAGATCCCACGCGTCATCGCACACGGTCCCCCAGACTCCCTGGTAGAGAAGCTCCACACGGCCAGCACAGCGCCCGGGGCCTCCCATCAGCCGCAGCCGGGCCCCGCCTCCTGAGGAAGGAGGAGAAGAAGCGGTGATTTAGGTCCCCATCAGCAGCAGCTCAGCCTGGCCCCGTTAAGGAGGCTTCATAAGGAGCCCCATTTCATTCCCAGGTGAATCTGCTCTAAGGAGACTGTCTTCCTTGTTAACATTTTGTTTTAGGACAACTTACTTGTGTGAATTGTTTAAAAAAACAATCTTAGAAACTCCTTCCCCTAAATACTTGCTTTTCACGATATGACTGCTCAGCTTATCCCATCAAGAAGTATAATGTATCTTCCTAGTCTCCGACTCTGGGTTGGTATAGCCTGTGACTTTTTCCAATAGAATGGGATGGAAGTCATGGTGACCCAGGCAGAGCTTCAAGTGACCTCACAAACTCGACCTCATTCCCTAGGAACTCAGAGATCATCACATGAATAAGCTCGAGCTAGACTTCCAAGTACTGTGGCCCCCTCACCTCTGTCACCTCAGAAGACAACCAAGGATAAACCTGTCATTGCTTTTCATTGTTGAGTGAATAAAGGCATTCAGAAAACAATACAGAGAGGTTAATTGGTCACATACAGACACAGCCTCACCTGGAGATGCAGAAGACGGTGGGTGTTCAAGCACAGGCTGTTCTGCTGACGTGGGACGTGGATTCTCAAGGGCTGGTATTGGGCGGAAGGAAGGTCTGTCATCAGAGAACATTCCAAACACTTGGAGAAGATGCTTCATTCTAGGACTACAGACTCTTTCTCCAGTGAGCATTCTGCCATCAGAGACTTCATATTCCACAGGAGAGATCATGGTACGATGTGTTGGAAAACGAGCATGGTCCCAGCCACCATTAGTGACCGCAAAGGTCAAGGGCGATTGACCCCAGCTGCTCTGTGAGAAGTCATTGACTGGCTACCTTCTCTTTTATCTCTGCCCTCCCCCACATACCCGACTATCATTAAAAAAAAACAAAAGTAAGAAAGGCCACATAGAAAATCCAAGATGGGGATGACAAGATCAACTCTGAAATGAGGAAACCTTTTAGAATAAGGAGCTACACTTGTATATCATTAACAAAGGTCATTAAACCTGACCGCCAAATAGTTGAATTTAATGGCATTTTTATTGAACCCTAATAAAAAATAAGATGGATTAATGACTGAGTATAGTAATGGATAGATAGATATATCATAGGGGTATACTGCTAAGTTTTCAAACACTGCTCTATATTTGTGAAATTTCATAATAAAATGTTAGTTAAAAAAAGTTTTCTCAGTTTCTAATGCAAGACCCACTTTATTTTGCAATACCAACCTCTTGTTTTTCATAGTGGCATAGGAGTTGCGATCAACTTGACAGCACACAATGACAACAACAGCAGCATATAAAGAATTCAGCCAGTCACAGATCTGTTTTTCTTTCCTTCTTGAGAGACAGTCAAAGGCACAGAATTTTAGGGAGCATGGGATCTAATATGTTTATTCTAATGGGGAGGAAACTAAGGGCCAGAGCCATTTATTGGGTTGAAGAGCTAACTCAGAGTCAGATTCCTGTAGTTAACGACCATTTCCATGCCCCAGCATGTGCCTAGGTCAGCATGTGACCAGTGAAGGGAACCATTACTCTGTGAGTATACACCAGTTGCCAGGTACCATATACCATTTCATAAAAGACTTTATTCAATCTCTCTAGTACGCCTATGTCCACGAACTGGAAACAGATCAAGAGAGATAATGTCATTTGGTTGACATTCCAAATGAAAGTGACCATAAGCTGCATGTCTCCTCCACTAGATGTCAAGAGCATGGTAGAAGAGTCAGGAAGGTTTTGGTCATTAATAGACCTCTAGTGTTTGATAAGGATTTGGCACAGAATGGACAATCAATCAAAGGATTTGGCACAGAATGGACACTCAATCAAAGGATTTGGCACAGAATGGACAATCAATCAAAGGATTTGGCACAGAATGGACACTCAATCAATATTGGCTGAATGAATTATGTTAGTGAACGAACGAAGCTGAGAATGGACCAAGATGTGACTTTAATGCTCATCATATTTCTTGCTTACATCATGGCAAGTCTAAAACCGCAACATCAAATACAAACTATGGTCCTACCTGTAGGCAGAGCGGCCGGGGAATCAGCACCTCTTAAAGTGAAGAGAGGTTGTTCATGCTATTATGCCTTGAGTGAGGGATGTCTGTTGGGAACTGGAAGCACCTGGGAGGTGCTCTGGGAGGAAGCGGAAGCAGCAAGGAACAAAGACTTTGCTCTCAAAGACCTTGACATTTCTTGGCATTTGGAGACCAGGCTGCAATGCTCAGTGTCCCAGGAGAGGCGCAGAAATGACTGCTCTTTTGGGATAGTCAGAGGCTGAGGGAGGCTTGTGGAGGGGGTGCGGCTCAACATGGGCCTGGGAGAACCCCACGGAGCTCGCTCCTGCTCAGGTGGGACGTGACCCATGAAGGTGGGGGCATCCTACGAGGAAAGCCAACTAGGGCAACAGGAACGAAAGATGGGCAGAGAGTAGTCTGGTGTTGGTTTGGGAAATTCTGCAGGCCTAGAGCTGGAGGAACTTGAACACTGGCTGTCAAACTTGACCTGTCAGCTGGAAGTCATACAAGGAAAAGTGAGGATCACCTAAGGTGGATAAGAGATTTGAGTAGTGGGCACAGTGGTGACCACGAAAGCCCACACCGAAGTCCGAGGGAAGCCCCTCTTCAATCCACCAGGGAAGTAATGAAAGGATTTGCAGTTTGTGTCTCATTTCCCCCCCTGTCCCTGCAAAAGAGATTAGAATTTGGACATTTATGCTCAAATAATCAGATTTTTCAATTAAAGTCCAGTCTGAATTTTCAAATGGAACAGGCTGTGTTCTGTTTATGAGCCAGTTCAGCACCTTTTTTTGAAAGGGAGGCTCGGCTGGAGAACACCTTTGAAAGGGAGCAGACAACTCCTGTCACCTGCCCGGAGTCCATCTCTCCTGGCCTGGGCTGGGCAATAATGCTCTGTGTGTGTGTGTGTGGTGACGGTCAGGGGGCTTATGGGATGGAGGGTGGTAAGAGGACAAGGAGCAGTCTTCTAAACGAGAAAGGCTGACACATGGTCACCTACCTGAGCAGATGACCCCAGCATCCTCCAGGTGTCCACAGTTGAGTTCAGCCCGGTCCCTGTGCACACACTGGCCCAGGTGGTTCTCAGTGCCCACACACTGCATGTCATCCAGCAGGATGTGTCCGGAGCCAGCCCCAAAGTGGGCTCCCGTGGGGGCCGACACGGCCTGGCCACACTGCAGCTGGCGGCACACGACGGTGGCCTCGGCCAGGTCCCAGAGGTCATCACACACGGTCCCCCACGTGCCCTGAACCAGGACCTCCACTCGGCCTGAGCACCTCCCCGTGCCATTCACCAGCCTCACCTCCATCCGGGCACCTGGGGAGACACAGCCATGGGAGAATGAGTTACCCACTGGCCAGTGGTCGAGAGGACACCACCGCCGTGATGATGGCGCTCTGCATAGTAGTAGCTCATGCGTTTCCCTACATTATAGGCTCCAAGCAAAGTGCTTCACAGGTTTGGTCTTACTTGATTCTCACAATGATTCTTAGAAATTGGTTCAATGATGTTCTCCTTTTCCAATGAGAACCAGAAAGTTAAAAGAATACACTCAGATGGACTACAATATCTGTCAAAACCGGCTGTGCCGCTACTCATGTATTGCTATCAGATGGCCTTAATGGCTTAACAGCAGTGGAGTTCATTTTTTTAATTTATTGTAATTTGGGAGCAAGTTACAGAGAAATTGGTTTTCATTCATTCATATAGGTTTTCCTCCCCACTCCCCGAATTCACGTTGTAATGCGTGACCTGTTCCAGATTGTTAATTGTAATGCACATAATGTCTGATCATCCTTTCTCTTCAACTTGTCCATCCCTTACCTATTCCAGGACAGTGTTAACTATCTATCCATTCCTTTCCTGCTCCCACCCACCACCAATACATCCTGTGGTTACCACAGTGATCCTGTGCAATATTTGTCCTTTCGTGACTGAGGTGTTTCACTCAGCATAATGTCTTCCTCACTCCTGAAAGTGTGCAACGTACAGACTTTGCAGCCTGGGATGAAGGAAGAGACTTTCTAGAGAGGAGGAGAGGGAAAGGAAGTCGACTTGACAGGGACCAGACCCACCTGATGGTACGTATGATGGGGTTGCAGCTTCCGGCCCTGTGGCTGGGGTGGAGCCTGGTTTGTATGATTCGGTGGCTGCATCTGGTTCTGTGGTTGGGTCTGGATAATGGTCGGTGCCTAGTGGTTGAGAGAAATCCATGTACTAAGGTCTATAGTTGTGGTGGTGGTGGTGGTGGTGGTTATAGACCGTTGAGTCAGAACTGACCAATAGCTAGACCTCCAGTGAATTGTCAGAGGCAGTTGATTGCACAGAAGGAGATTACCCGTCCTCCTGTGGAGCAGCTGGTGGACTCGAACCACATACCTTTGCAGTACGGTTTCTTATCACTAGGCCACCAGTGAGAAATGATCCCTATGAGCTGAATGATTCCCAAAAAGATTTAAAGGGAAGCAAGTGTTTTCCAGTGCCGATGGCATGAGAGCCTCGTAAATGAGATCAGATTGAAGAGACTTTAGGAGGCCAATAATATTTTCTGTCAATATCACTTAGCCAAACAAGATAGAGACTTTTTAATGGAACCTGTTTGGTGTGATGACTGTCTCATCTCCCAAGCCTCTCTCTGTCTGTGGAATCTTGTCTGTAGACTTGACATGGATATGTCACTTGGACTATGTGGGGACAAGGTTGCTCACTCATCTAGCCCTTCAGGTGTTCTACCATGGCTTAACAAAATGAACTTCAGAAAGAAAAGTTTCTCAAAGTCATAACCAAGCACAGTTGGACCAACCTGTGAGGATGTCTGATGGAGACATAGTCTGAGGCTCTAGGGAGGGACTGGGCCACACAGAGTCACCGGCACCTGATGGTTGAAAGGGACCGAGGTCTATGAGGTGATTTCTAACGTATTTATTACTCAGTCGCTTGTCAGTACTGAATGTGACTATGGTGATGTTCACATGACAGTCACTCACCTGTGCAGATGACTCCAGCATCCTCCAGGTGCCCACAGTTGATCTCAGGCCGGCCCTTATGTCCACACTGTCCCAGGTGGCTCTCAGTGCCCACACACTGCATGTCATCCAGCAGGATGTGTCCAGAGCCAGCCCCAAAATGGGCCCCCACGGGGGCCGACACGGCCTGGCCACACTGCAGCTGGCGGCACACGACGGTGGCCTCGGCCAGGTCCCAGAGGTCATCACACACGGTCCCCCACGTGCCCTGAAACAGGACCTCCACTCGGCCTGAGCACCTCCCCGTGCCGTTCACCAGCCTCAGCTCCATGCGGGCACCTGGGGAGGCATGCAGAGGAGACACACCGGAGGGGCCTCTGCATTCTCACGGAGGGTTTCCACTTTCTCATCAATGTTCAGTGATGACATACCCACAGACAAGGTCATGCAGGTCTCAAGCTTCCCCTCGACAAAAATACCCATAGTACGCTTCCTTTTCAAATGATAAGAAAATCTTCTACATTCCCCTTCTAAAAACATGAAACTCTTTTCAAGAGACATCTAGAATTTCTGAAAAGTTATCCTATTAAGGCTATTTCCTCATTCTGTTAGCCCCTATGGACAGAAATATGAGATATATATATATATTTTTTTTTGAGAAGTATATATATTTTAACACAATAGTCAGCTCGTCTATCCATAGGCAGATACAGCACACGCACCTTTGTGTTCCAGAACCACATTAACCTTAGAGTTCTGGAGGCCCCATGTTGTTGTTGTTGTTGTTGTTGTTGTAATGTGCTGTTGAGTCACTTTGAGACTCATAGTGACCCCATGTACAACAGCCCTAAAGCCTGCTCTATCCTGTGCCAACCTCAGTGTCTCCTACACACCTACTCCATTACCCCAGTCACTGAATCAATCCATCTCATCGAGGGTCTTCCTCTCCTGCACTGTCCCTCCACCCTCCCAAGCATGACGTCCCTCTCCAAGGACTGATCTGTCCTTCCTTGCCCACACATCCTTCTTAACGACTTTATCATGTTACAGAAACTGAGGGCAGACATGACTACCAGCTGTTTGTAAGTTAAAGGCCAGAACCTCAGAAGGTCCCTCACTTTAAAGTCACCATCTTAAACTTTACAACAAACACATGTGGTATGGAGTTAGTTCTTTTTTTAAAATTTTTTAATTTTTATTATTATTATTTGTGTATGTACCGTCAAATCAGATCTGACAGGTATAGGAGGAGATTGTCCCTCCTTCTCCAGCAGAGCATCTGGTGGATTTGAACCACGCACCTCTGGGACTGCAGTGCAGTTTCTTGCCACTAGGCCACCAGAGCTCGCCTGGAGTTAGTTCTGTGTCTCACAGATTAAGAAATTAAAACTAAGCATGATTGTGACTTGTCCTGAGTTCCACAGCTTGGAAGCAGTGCTGTCTCTCCCATCCCCTCAGCCTGTGCTGTTATGCCACCTTAAAGAAATGCTTTCCTCAACTCCATCCGTCCCTAATTTTTCTCAGGAATGTCTTCTCACACCTGCTGCCGGAAGAGTTAAGGCCTCGAGGGCTGTAGTTAGTGACATCACAGACATCACAATTATTCATGTATTAAACATCATTGGTAAGCTCATCTCTTTGACCCTTCTCCTTAGTAAAAGAAATGTTTCCAAATGGAAGGCCAACCCAAACACTTCATATTTAAGGAAAACAAAAGGAAAGATACTCATCTCTCACTGCTGTTGAGTTGGCACCAACTCATAGTTGACCCTCCAGTGGGTTTTTAGAGGATTTAAATCACATGGGATGTGATGGTCTATCCTTCTCACAAGAATGAAATAAAAGCATCCTCTATAAACTCATAATGCTGGATGCCATCCATTCATTTGTAATTATCTATTTGAGAGGGAAATGGTTAAAATTTGAACTTGCAAACCCTCCCTCCTCCCAAGTGCTGCAGATAATTCCTTGTTTCAGATCTTTGACCTCCTTCTGCCCAGGCAAGCCCATGGTGACCTCAGAAATACTGCAAATTGTTCTGAAGACTGTCTGGTGTTCCTGAAACCTTTCTTTATGTAAACAGATAGAAGGTAAACATGATGGAGTCTAGAATTTAGAAGTTGCCACTGCAGATTAGAGAGTTCCTTTTAACTATTTCTGAGAATAATTGTGAAAGTGTGTTATCCTGATCTGAGGTGAGAATGGTCCCATACAGTCACCCAAGGTCAAGCAGATACTTGGGGTCCTGTGGCACTAGGTCTGGGTCCTCAAACGTGAAGCTTTGGAAAGAAATCCTTTTCCTTTTGCAGACCTGGGACATTGTTTCACTGTACTGAGTTATACTCAGTTTCTAGGTACTGATTGAGCCAAGGGCATTCAGGGTGGCATATTGTACTGAATGTTCAGAAACTTCGATCGGGCAATTGCACTTCTATTTGGGTAACACTAAGTATCACATTCTTGGGCATGTTGTTAGGGGAGGCTGTTCCTCAAAAGGGACAGCCTGTTGTGAAAGGCGGAGGAAGACCCTCAGTGACACAGATTGACACAGTGATGGCAACGACAGGCTCAAGTGTGTCAGAGATGATGGGAACGGCACCGGGTAAGGCAGGGTCCAGAGCTTGTTGTTCAGAGTTGCTACAAGTCATACTTGACTCAACGGCACGTAACAACAGCAACAAAGACAAATGGATGTTTGCAGACATTTTACTGGCTTGCTTAAATATGCTTTTCTTGATGTTTAGCTCTGTATGTACATAACAAACTAAGAACAAACAAGAAGTGACTTACAAATTTCAACTTACTAGGTGGGCTGGCTGCTGATAGAGCTGATGGCGCTGATGCTCCGGAAGAGAATGATGGCATCGAGGAGGAGGAGGAGGAGGATGACGATGATGATGACAAGGACGATATTGATGGTAACTCTGCTTCTGTTTATTAAGATTAAAAAGATTCCATGGAAACTGGTTCTGGTTAGAAGAAGTAGAATGAGACCTAAGCCATAGACCAAGTCAGTCTTACCTGGAGGTGAGGGACCAGCAGTAGAAGAGCCTGTGAGCAAGAAGAAAAGATGACACCAGACATCACAGTGGAGGTCACTGGTTCATTGCTAAATTTTCTTAATGATCAGTCTGTCCATGAGTCACTCAGGACGCAGAGACCACTCACCTGAGCAGATGACTCCAGCATCTTCCTTGTGGCCACAGTTGTGAGCGAACCAGGTGTCATGGGCACACAGGGCCAGGTGGCCCTCTTCACCACTGCACTGCACGTTGTCCAGGAGAATCTTCCCAGAGCCAGGGCTGAAGTGGGCACCACGTGGGGCAGCCACCGCCTGCCCGCACTCAAGCTGCCTGCACACAACCTGTGCTTCTTTCAGACCCCAGCCATCATCACACACGGACCCCCAGGTGCCCTGGTAGAAAACTTCCACACGCCCAGAGCATCTTCCATTGCCACTGACCAGTCTCAGGGCAGGCCAGGCTACTGTGGACAGAAAAACAGGGGCGCAACCGTGAAACTTACCTAGTGACTGCAATGATTGATCTGGCTTAGATATGAGGACAAATCTTTCCATTTTTCCACATAGAAAAAAACCACCCTGGGTAATTGCATCTCAAATGTGTCACTCTCTGTCACTAAAGAAAGAGGGTGAAGAGATGGGATGTATGCTTCTCATGCTGATTCTTCAGAAACTGACATCAACAGGGTAGACACACAGCTTTACAAAACTGTGCTTCTGTTAGTTGGAAAATAGACAAATGGACAAGTTTTTTTTTTAAATGGGATACCTTATAAAAATGAAAAACAGTGACATACTTATGTGTCTACATGTCAACGTGTATCTAAAACACAATGCATGGGAATGATTGTATGAAACACAACGTGAATGAAGGAAAGTGTGAAAGACAATGTATATGAATCTTGTATGCAAACCAATATAAAATAAAAATGATTTCAAATAATACAGTTGTAATAATATTATTTGGAAGGAGGAGTGGCATCCACTTCCATAATAGCTTGCCTCCGGAAACCCTATGAACCTGGAGAGAGGATGAAAGGCACCCAAGCGTCGAGGACTCTCCTTCATAGGGTCGCTATGAGTCGCCTGTGACTCGACGGCACTTAACAACAACAACAATAACAACAACATTATATTTTAAAAATGTAGGATTTATTAAAAAAGAGGAACAGAAAGTTTGTTTTTCCTGTTCGGATCTATCGAGTTGACTAGAGCTCGCAGTCACCCTGTGAGCAGCAGATCTGCACGTCCTGCACCAACCTCATGATTCCTGTCATGCCCAAGTTCACCGTGCTAGTCACAGACTCAGTCCTGCTCGCTGAGGTCTCCCTCTCTTTTGTTGATCCTTTTCCACTTATGATGTCTTTTTCCAAAACCTGGTCCCTTTTGAAAATATGCCCAAAGTATATGAGAAGAAATTTCACCAGAATGATAAGCTTAGCATTTGTGGGGGGGAACCTCCCATATCTAAATTACATAATTAATACACAGAAAGTATAATTAATAAATATAAAAGACATGAACTCTGAAGATACACATGGAATTCAAGGGAATATTTCTGAGGAAGAAGCAAAGAAAACATGAGGCAGGACTCGGGACTTCAGAGGTTTGGTTTCCTGAGGGGACTGTTTCCCACAATGACAATCTTTACGCGCTGGTCACGTTAGGTTAGAGAGACACGGTCATCAGCTGTCTTATTCTCTGTCTTTTCTGAACTATGAATGTGAACACTGAGGCTGATTGGGTGCTCATGTGTGTGAGGTGTGGCTCTTCACTCAGCCCCGGAGGCCAGGGCATCCTCCTGCCTGTCACCCTCAGCCTCTTACTATGCAGGTCCTCCCATAGTTGTGATGATTTGTGTGGGACCCCGAAGACCAGTGTGTGGCCTGTTGGGGGCAGCTTACCTTGAAGAGTGGACTCAGGCACACTGGCTCTGCGGCTGGCAGGTCCTGAGTCAGGGGCTGGTAGAACTAGAACAATGTGAAAACAGTGACTAGGATTGCTAACTTCTCCCCGTTGGCATAAACCCAAGCACAGAACTCAACTAGACACTGGTGAAGAGTCACGACCTCTGTGATATCTTCTGGGGTGACAGCTGGACACACCGTCTGGACTGACCACATGCTCTTGGGTTAGCCATGAGCTCATGAGAATGACCAGGTGAGCCAATGAGACTGGAGTCAAGTTCAGGTTGCCCAGTGATCCTACTACTCCCAAGTGCCTTTCCTATCTTAACCCTATGTCAACTCAGCATGACAACACTTACTGATCAGGTTCTACATAACAGTACTTGCTTACTGTCCAGTAGTAATAATAATAATAGATCACTGAAGAGTGGGGGGAAATTTTAAAAAATCATCGAATTCATAAGGATGTTGGCATCTTGTGTTAGGAACAGATACAGGACATAGCATTCTCTTATCAGTTTTGTATTCTGTCTGCAAACACCATAGTGAGGCTGTCACCATATATGTAAGAACTGTCCCCTCCACCAACCAGAAGCAACCACAGAAGAAGAAATGAAAGCAGAAAGAAGAACCTCATGCAGCCAGGAGAAGCTATTGCTTTGAAAGACGGAGGATCAGTGAAGGAGAGAAAGACCCTCAAGGACATGGACTGACACCGTGACTTAAGGAATGGGCTCTCGTGTGCCAGAGATGATGAAGACGGCTCAGAATAGGCAGGGTTCAGGTCAGCTGTTCATAGCGTCATGATGAGTTGTACTTGACTCAATAACATCTACCAATGACCACCTGGGCTGACAGATTTCTCACTTTCGAGAAGACCCACTGTCTTTTTTAAAAAAGTTATTTTATTATTTTTTGTGCATGTACCGTCAAATTGGATCTGACTGGTACAGGAGGAGATTGTCCCTCCTTCTCCAGCAGAGAAGCTGGTGGATTTGAACCACACACCTCTGGGATTGCAATGCAGCTTCCTGCCACTAGGCCATCAGAGCTCCCTAAGACCCATTGTCGTTGGACAGTGTACTGTGCTTAATAAGCTCTTCTTCCTTCTCAATAATTTTTCTCTCAATAAACTTTTCTTTCCTCCTCTTTCTAGTGTTCATGCCTGTGGCAAAATCTCTGGGAAGGGCTTACTAGTCCTCACTGAGGCATCTGATCTTGGGAAATCCAAGGAACTGAGTGAACATCTTGTATGACCTCACTATATACATACATACATACATAGAAGTTATACATGTAATGTTCTGAGTGAAACCATTGTAACTCATGAGTCAGAACCTCCTGGAAGAGAGCTCACTGTCTCTACACCTCTCAGATGAATGGCTAGGCCATGCACCTCTGTGACTAGAGACGGAATCACTGCCCTTACCTGATAAGATGGTTGATAATTTTTCATTTTCGGCTGATGCTGCAAAATAAAAGAATCTCTTAGAAGAATCTGACTTCATTAGCTGGCCCACAGCCTTTCTTTCTGAGGAAGACTATCTGTACACATAGGGGCTACTGGCACTTTTCAAAGGGTGGTCTGTATTTATGACCCTGATTCTTGAACGGAGGATTTGTCTCTACTGAACAGTGCCAAGATGATTGTTCTTGGCCAATGGTGAAATTCCTCTTGCAAGAAGGATCAGAACCGATCCCATACTCTCTCTCTCTTCTCTCTCTCTCTCACACACACACACTCTCTCTCTCACACACACACTCACACACACAGACACTCACACAGAGTCTGTGCAGTTGGTTACACAGTCAATAGATACATATTGAGGGTGTTTGTTCTAAGAACCATACTAATTATTAGGAACCCAGTCATGAGGAAGATGGATAAAACACATGCACTTGTGGGGACGGACCTCTATAGAGTATGAAGGGTTACATGAGACACTGTGCATGATTTCTAGCTCCATTGGCAAGGAGTTCCTGGTCGTTCTTACATCAAATGGTTAAAGATTCAAGTCTACTCAGAGGCATTTAAGCAGCACAGTCCACTTCTGAACTTCGGCCTCTGGAGAGCACAGCAGTGCAGCTCTACCCCGAAACACACACAGAGTCACCACGAGTGAGAGTCAACTGGGTGACGACTGGTGTGAGGGGCTCAGAGAAGATGAACGGGGCACATACAACATGCTGCACCCAGTTTCCATTATTCAAATTCAGAGCTCATTGATCCTTCTGATGGAATGATTGGATTCTGAATATCTTCTAAGAGGGTGGAAGTTGGAAAAGCAAGACAATGATTTAATCAAAAGAGAACAACTCTTTTCATTTGTTTTTTTGTTTCTGGGGGAACAGTTTAATCACTGTCGTACAACTGCATTCATGATGGAGAGTCTTACAAAACCTTCAGAGAGGCTGCTGGTGCCATACATTAAATACTGAACTGCAAATGCAAAGATTGGCAGTTCAAACCCACCAGCTGCTCCCAGAAGAATAAGGAAGCATTCTGCCTTTGTCAATAGTACAGTCCTGGAAACCTTTTGGGTGGTTCTGCTCTTTTCACAGTAACCTATAGGATTAACATGAGTTGGAATTTATTTGGTTTAACCATCTTGAAATATTATACTAAATATTGTCATATATATGAATTAATATGAAATATCCAGAATAAAGAAATTCATAGAGAGAAAGTTAGTCATTGTTAGAGGTTGAGTGTTGGGTAAAGAGGTAGAGAGAAACCATTTGGTGGGTCCGGTTTTTTGGAGGGGTGAGAATGTTCTTTAACTTAACAGAGATGAAGGTTGCAGAAGGTTGTGAACTGTACAATTCCCAGTAAATCCATCAACAAAGCCACAGGCTTAATCCTCTCTCATTAACCCCACTTATCAGATAAGAACAGAAAGAGGCAAAGAAACATGGTGAGAGTCAGACAGCTGCAAGGGGGCAGAGTGCCGCTCCAAACCAACAGTCTCCTTCCAAAAAAAATCAAACCAAACCAAAGCCAACCCAGTAACAACAACAACAAAGATAAAAAAACTACAACAAAACAGTCTCCTGCCAGAAAAAAAAGAACGAAAGAGAAAACCAAATTAAAAAAACAAAGCAGTCTTCTTGTAGAAACTTTTCTGAGCCCTGCACCTTCAAGTAAAGGATGTATGTCCCTTTGGTTTGAAAAGAATCCTTGCTGGGCCACTTAGACATGAGGCCCCAAATTTTAATGTAGTTTGTTCTCTTTTGTTAATGCTTCAAACTGGACAAAATGAAGCAAGCAAGGAAAACCAAGCAGGATTTACCGAGTCAAACACTTATTTCACAACCACTGAATAGTCAACAGGCAGTAGACACTATTCTACGGACAGAGTGTGTGTTTGTATGGATAGGGGAGATGTTTACAATGCAAGCTCTGGTGGTCTAGTGGCAAGAAGGTGCACTGTAATCCCGGAGGTGAGTGGTTCAAATCCACCAGATGCTCTGCTGGAGAAGGAGGAACAATCTCCCTCCACCTGTACCAGTTAGATCCGATTTGATGGTAAACACATACACACACACAAATAAAAGTT